GTTAGTTAGCTAAATAGCTTCCATTTTGCTCACATTAGCTATCAGAAGTAACTTGCTAACTTAAGATATATATCACTTTTATCTTCCTGGCAGCGGGCATGTAAGAATGCAGAAGTACAATCTGTAGTTCGAACAAATGAGCGGGGAGCTCGGTGCAACCTGGAGGGAAGTTGAACATTGTTTATTTGCCTATACTACCCACATTGTAATGATACAAAGCCCACCCATCTTCTGGGGAGTTACTTGAACAGTGGTGTGAATGGCCACTAACAAACATACGCCAGTTACTTCAAGGAAACGCCTCACCAGAACCAGTGCTCTCCTCTCATTCTCCCCCCGTAGTGAAATAGAGCTGCTTTGTCACATAGGGATAGCTTTTTAAAACATTGAAAATGTCCTGAGCAATGTTGTATTGTACGACGTCCGTGTGTCTCCGCTGTCTTTGGATTGGTTCTGCAATGCAGGTTCCTCTCTCTTATTATTCCCACACAGTTTTAGCACCAAAAGAGAGGAGAAAGTCTTCAGTATCTACTGGGCGAAGCATTTAGTGAGTCTACAAAGCAGGTTGAAAATCACTGAAGTTTAGTCAATGAATATCCTCACAGGTACGTGAGCGCAGACGTGTGTATACGAGCATTGCTTGTGCACAAACATTAAACCATGCTGATCACTGTCCTTGAGGCTAATTCATTCATTAAACTTGTTTAATCATTAAAGTTTTCAATGTGATGAATAAAACCATCCTTCCACTTTGTCCTCACAAGAAGAGAAATATACACATATCCTACACAGTCATACTGCAGATCCTCTGGCTAAAGTGTTTTTTTCCTCTCTCTATCTCTCTCTCTCTCGCTCTCCAGAATGAATAAAGTATAAGTTTTCTTGAGAGTGAATTAAAAATCAATAGCTCTGAGAGTTTCAGGTGTGTTGGTGGATGGAGGGATGGGGGCGTCTGTGGGATCGTGGCTCAAAAGTTAATTCACTTTCACAGTTTGCCAAACGAATGAATAAAATATGATGCTCCAGTGTGTGAAGAAGGAGGGAAAGATTCTCTAATTGGAATTTCTGTCGGCTGAACGAGAAGTTGTGGGGAGACAAATTATTCACACACACTCACACACACACACATACATACACATACTGTACATTTAATCGAGGTATCCCAAGGTGTTGGCATTAGCTGCGGTACGTCCCCGGTGACGTGGGAATATGAACATCTACATTGATCAAAATAGGACATAAATGCTCTGTGCACTCATTTGCTTTTTAAATATCAGACTATATAAACTTTGTTCATGATCCACTGTCGCTTTGCATCTTATTTTCTCTCCTTTTAACGACCCTAACGGCTACTGAAATACACAAAGCCAAACATGTGGCCCGAGGTGATAATTCTGAACAAATACTAATGAAATATTTTCAAATGTTTGTACAAAATAAAGCTGACAGACTTCTGGGAAATCAGCTACACTGCTTCCATCCTCCAAGCCGCTCGCAGACAAACACAAGCCCCTGTCCATTAGAGGTCACATGCGGGCACACAGCTCATAAAACTGGTGGCGTGAGGCGGGTGGGGAAATAACCGCACTGACGTGGTGACTGGTGACACTGTGACATTGATGGAGATATTTACCGTAACCTCGCTCTGGCCTTGGCTGAAGAGAGGACGCTGTAATTCTTCTTTTCATTGCAACACTTCTTCTAGGCCGCCATCATTTTATAAAGGAATTCACACTGGTTTACATCGCACACACACACACCAAGGAGGGAGAAATACACACATAAAATCCCTCATTTAAGCCACCGTGTGATGAATTATCTAGCATATAGCAAGTTATTTTGGTGGTGTAAGTGTTTATAGACAATCCTGGTGGAAGAAAGGTGCAGACTGTGTGGTTTTCAGCCTCATCATTTTCATTTAGAAATACAGTAAGGTAAAATAAAATTCCATTACAAGTAAAAGTCCTGCATTTTAAAGTGACTAAGAAGTCCAACTAATCAGGGTTGTTAGTGGTTGTGTTGGGGATGGGGACTATTATACTAGTAATAATATAACAGTAATGATATTACTTTCCCCAGTAACTAGTATTGTAACTCTTCACTGATAAAGTTTAGTAATAATATTACAGTTACCCCCCAAAAAATAATTAGTTTCAACCTTACTTTTGTTGTCACCTCCTACTGATTTGAAATCCAACAATTCAATCACATCCTTAGATTCATTTTTGTAATTGTGGAGGAAACTAGTTTGGAAGCGGCTGGAAATATTCACATTACTGTGATTTTAACAAAAGAGACACAATTACCAATTTTGTAGGGAGCAGCAGAAAAGTAATATAACTAGAAGAGTAACTAATTACTGTCTTATTTTATCTTATTTTGTAAATAGATCATAATATGTTTTGCATGTAAAACCATAATCTGCCAAGTAAGTATATCTGATAGTAAAACACAGAGTACATGATTATCATACATGGACTGAGTCCTGGGGCAAAATTTTATTCAACTGAATTTACACATTATAAACTAAATTAATTAATAGACTAAATTAAAGGAATAGTACCATATTTTTAGGAAATTATGTGTATTTGCCGTCTTTGCTGAGAGATAGATCCAGCTGCCAATTAGCTTAGCTTAGCATAAAGACTTGAAGCAAAGGGAAACAACTAGCCTGGCTTTGTCCGAAGATTTATTTTTTTTTTTTTTTGCCTTGCAGCAATTTTCAAAGTTGCTTATCAACAAATTGTACCTTGTTTGTTCAAAAGCTGCAAGAAAACAACGTGTAAAAAACTACAATTTGTGTTTCTTTGGGGGGTTATGTGCAGGATTATTCCTTTAAAATTGCAACAGTCTCCCAAAATAGCTAAAATTGTATGCGAGTGAGTTCTTGAGAAATGGACTTCGTTCCACCTCTGCTGACTGATGAGGGCGGGGTGTTTATGGGATAAAGAACTTGTATTTTCAGACACATTACACTCTGACCTACATTTTTCTTTTCCTTGCGTCGCTTTTCTTTTCCTCCTTATTCCTCTCTCTCTCTCTCTCTCTCTCTCTCGACAGGCCTAGCTGGCAGTACAACTCAGATTGGTGTGAAATCGCCGCCTAACAGGCGGGAAATTGGCTCTGTTATTTTTGGAGCAGAGTCATAGGGGACCGTCGGACCATCATCCTCTCTCTAATGAGCAGGTGATGGAGGCGTAGCTGGGGAGTAGTGGGGGGGGGGGGATGCATGGCGTCTCAAACACCACACACATGGCAGATGTACAGATGAAAGCAGAAAAGGGAAAACAGCACTTCCAAAAATGAAGCCCGAGAGAAAGCAGAGGAGGGAAGAGAAAGGAGAAGAGAGGGAATGAGGTGGTGCGATGAGATTTCCTGCAGCTGATACGAATACCAGGATCAGATTAGCCAAATATTAATAACCTCTGTTGACGTCCGCCACTCCACTGCAAATGAGCGTTTAGGGAGCTGGACTTGGCCGGAGCACGGTCTGTGTTTATGTGGAGATGATGGATGAAGTCGGGGAGGGGGGAGGGGGGTCAAGCAGGGAAGTGTCAGGAACAATAAGATCTTCAGCCAAAGCAGAAGATTGCCTGTAATAACAGAGAACGTATTGAGCAGTGGTTCCCAACCTTTTGTGTGCCTCAACAACCCTGTCAGATGTATGAAGTACCCCTATAAAGTACCCCCTATGTCGACCCTGTCATGCTCCATATGTCTGTTTGATGGATTTTAAATGGGATTATATTTAACACTATTTAAAAGGCTCTATTGGCAGAAATATAACATTCATAGGCATGTTTTTATTGGTTTATAACCACCTGAAACCTTTATCTTTAATAAAGGACCCATTTTCTATCATTTAGTAAACTGACAACCTAAGTGACATATTTTATAGATATTTTATATTATATTCAATACTGTACCATTAACCCAATAAGTTTGTGTAAAATTAGCGATTTGAATGAGCAGATTCTTTCCTGTTCAGGGGACTTTTTTTTATTAATTCTGTCTGTATTATGTATTTGGTTTATTATTTTTAACAATCATACAAACTTAATAGGATTCTTTTTTATTTGACAGAGTCAGTGTTTTCTTGTCCCCGATGCTTGGCCCTTCATCTAGAAGACATTACATTTATTTTTCTTCACAGAATTGAACCAAATGCTGAGATATAGACCTAGTGTGTATATTCTTTTTACTTGTTTCTGGGGTCTGGGCCTCGCAGATTATTACACAACTTTATCATGCAGTAATCCAATTGAAACATTGTCTTTTCGTTGAAGGAACCAAGGCTGTGCTAACTTCCGGGTTGGCCAATGAAAAAGCTCTCTATGGACGCTGTAATGATTCCTCCTGTTCACAAAGGACTTGAAGAGAACACGACTCCAGTAAAAGTGACTCTTTGTAAATATGTGTCCTGAAGTTCAGCTGAAGCTAATATACAATCAAGTGGCTATCTTCCAAATATAATCAATACTTTCAGCAGCATGTCGTGTTGAGGTTGGTGGGATGTTTGGTAGCTTATTGGTTATTGTGTGAATGAAAGGGATCAGCATCGCACCAATTTGTAATCCTATTTGTGGGTTTATTTTTATCCTCCAACACATATTTGTGGATATTTTATATTACATAATCACCATGGTCTATTTTTACAAATTGGGTGAGCCACTCCACAATCTGTCCACATACCCCCCGGTTGGGAGTCACTGCTATAAACGACAGCAGCATAATGCACATGAACACAGGACTGGACACGGCCTGTGCAGTGTGTGTTTATACTGAGACAATAGGAGTGGGGGGTTGGTTGTGGCCAAGCACAGAAGTGTCAGGCACAATCCCATCTTCAGCTGAAGCAGACTGCCGCCTAGAACATATGGAGGACTGTACAGTTAATGCACACTCTGCTACCACACACTGCGGTAATAAACTCATTTCTGATTGCATCATTTGCAACTCATGCAGTATTTTAGAAACACAGCGAGGACGCTCTGCAGAGACACTCTTTATACATTTATTTCATATGAATATGCTCCAAACCTCAACATACATGTCACAAATTCTTCATCTCATGGCTGGCTGTGGAAATGCACAGTCACTGGTTTCCATGGTTTAACTGGAGCTTACTCATGGCAACTGGAAGGCATCGTACACAGTATTCATCACAATCCATAAATTCAGACACTGAATTGACACACACACACACACACACCCACATATCCCAGCCCACAGATCCATTGGAAGGAGTCAGTTTTGGAGGTGCAGTGGTACACAGCAGCAGCTAAACACTGCCCCCTACTGTCAGACAGTCGCCATGCATTTAATGAAAAGTGAGTGATGAAGTTGGCCTGCATGTATTTATATATCTATAAACAGCAAGGTTAATTATTTTGCAAGGAGTTACAATATGTTGTTATAAATGTTGGCAGCAGTCAACACAGAGCACTGGTGTGATTTGGCATCATAGCAGTATTTGCTACAATGTTTAATATTCAATGTTAATCAATTAAATTAAACAATTAAAAATGCATCAACTAGAACTTAAATGCCCGAAGTTCTAACAATTTATGATTTAATAATAATAATTTATGTGTATGAACAAACAGTAAACTTCTTTTCTTTTTAAATTTTTTGATCTTTTAAATTTAAATCTTTTTTCCCCATGAAGCCCATTCATTTTAGACACTCAACCTATTATTTATGATATGTGTACCAATAAAGTCCTCCAGTGTTAGACAGTCTGGTCTGTGTGCAGCTGATGTTCAGGACTCTTTTTTTAACTTTGCTCAGTCTCGTGGCGTGCCAGCGCGGGGGGCAAAATGGTCCCACAGGGGCCCTGGAAGTGGAACCTGAAACACAAGAAACAAACAACGTCTATGCTGTAAACGTGCTGAAAATGATGCACACGTGTGTGATTGTGTGACAGTAAACAAAAATACTTGAAGCGCATGGTGGCCGGTGTGTTTTCCATGTTGAATTCGGCCACAGGGACTCCTCTGGCTGCCACCTGAGGGGCAAACATGGCTGCTGGATACACGACAGACGACGTGCCAACCTGCAGAGTGGGATTTTATTGAGTTTAAGATAAGTTTAGGAAAGAGGATGTCTATATTAATAATACATGACAGAGTGCTGCTCTCTTTTGTCTTTTATACAGCACTAAATTTAACATCTAAAACTTTAATATTCCTCCAAATATCATGGCAAAATAAATATAATAAACTTTGACAGTCTGGAACAGCTCAAAGCAACTTTTACAACAACATTAGCAGCATTTACTTATTTATCTATGAGTGCGGGAATAAAACTGCCATGTACACAAGTGAATTTGGCAGTATTATTGATGCACTTTATACATTTCAATTTTACAATAATATAAATTTCATGAACACACACAAGTTTACGCAGATATCCTTATTAGGACATTCCCACTCACTTTATTCACTGCCTGATTCAAAGCCTGATTTATACTTCTGTGTCAAACTGATGCCGTGGCCATGGCGTAGTTATGGCGTAACCTTGTACTCTACGCCATAACCTGATGTTCTCCTTCCCAGAAATGTAACTACACGTTGAGGCAGCACAAACAGCTGTGATGGGTTTGCTTGGTGTGTGTGTGTGCATTGTCTGACAATGGGAAGTGACTCATGTAAAACCCAGACAAGTTAATAATGCTGGTTGAGATTCCCTCTTCAAAACATACACACACACAGACAAGTGTGTCCTCACACACCCAAACAGGCACACATGGGACGCTGCCTCGCTGCATGACACGCTCTTGTACTCCCTCGTCCTTTTGTTTCACGGGCAACGGGGGGGGGGGGGGGGCAAAGAACGAAACGAGGAAAATACGAGATAGACTGAGGAGAGAGTTGAGGCAGACTTTCAGTTTTGGTTGTGTTATTTTTCAGAGTAATGCAGACAGACAAGTGCACAGGTATAAATGCTCGTAACGGTGTGGGTCACTGGCTTAGACTCGACGTAGAGCCTACATACAACTAAAAATCAGCCTTTATCAAACCCCTTTCTCGGTCTTCTGTTCCCAGGAGGACTACTGGTCCCGACAAGGTCAATTTTTACACCAGAAAAGGTCCCCAATAGGTAACAAAAACGCATACACAAACACACACGTACCACAAGGCAGAGGTCACAGCTGTCCAACACTTTCTCTGCACGAGTGAGGATGTCTGAGTCCAGAGTCTCTCCAAACCAAACCACAGCTGGTCTCAGGAGACCGTGACAGCCTGTCTGCTCGCACCTGAAACACACACACACACACACAACACACACACACACACACACTTTGTCAAAACAAATAACCTCATTTGAAAAGAGCAGAGCACTAAAAGAGAACATGAGTGTGTCTTACCTGGGCAGCTGTTCAACAGGGATCTCTGCGTCATCTGTGTCTGGGTCTGGAGCTCTGAGGAGGCAATTTGATAAAAAAGACGTTTGATGTCAGTAAAAAAGGGCAATTACACCCTGATATACCTAAAACTCCTCCAACAAAGCTTGTTTCTTACAAATTCACGTGATTTTATACTGATACTGAGCCCGAACTACATAGTGCTCATTTAAAATACATTAAAGTTAGTAAATCCAAACTATTTTAGGTTAGATATATCATTATATTTAATACACTTTTATTCCCTGTTGTTTTTTAATAATCTTAAATCTGCGAACATCTAAAACCATTCTTTCAATTACCCATTTACTTAATTTTGTTGTATTTATTCATCTGCTGCTGCTCCCAAGTGCTTTAACTTTAACTTAAGAATTACTGTTAACAGATTTACATGATCAGTTCTGACATTAATTCATAGTTTTAGCACAGGGCCTCCATCATTTTACCCACAGCAGAGACTTTCTTAGTGGAACATTTCCGCTATTAAAAACATCAGTTTTAAATGTCAGATAAGTGGCTTTTAAAGTGACATTTCAGATTTTCCCTTCCACTGCGTCATCAGGTGTTATTTAGCTCCTGACGTCTGACAAACTGAAACAGGGCTTTTTTTTTTTCCTGCTGGCATTTTGTGCTCAAATGAATGTGATCAATATCTCTAATTACAAATTTTCATATTGTTGAGGTCAAACCAAGTCCAATTCACCGAACGACACCAGATGAAGCTCTTACCCTTTTCCCTCCAGAGCGGCACAGATGGGGCTCTTGTAATTGGCTGCTTCATGACTGCAGCTCATACAGCGTGTTTTAAACAGACTTCCTGGAATCACAACACGAGAGACAACAAGTTAGTGCTGAAACAACCAATCAGTCGGAGGACAGACAGTTAATCAACCACTATTTCAACGATTGATTAATTGTTGTGTGTAATATATCAAATACACATGTCAAACATTTGTAAGTTCCAGCTTCTCCTGAGTGGATATATTCATAAAACAGGTGTTCTGCAAGACTTTTTAAGACCTTTTAAAGATCATTATTAATACAATTTCATACCTGTGTGACGTCCATATGGGCAAAAAAGGACGAGGGATATGAAGTTTTTGTATCACGGTATGTTTTAAGATTCTGGCATGTTTCATGATACATATAAATATAGATTTGTTTTTGCATGACTGGGCCTTTATTTAGCTTTACAGAATGTAAAAACATTTTATTGTGCAAAACTGCAACGTAGTGAAACAGAACAAAACATAAAACTACCAACAACTTTAATTTCCTTTTTTTAAAACAAAATATTTTAAAATATTTGTTTAAACTAAGTATTCAAAGAGATATTTCTCAAATGTTCTATTGCACAAGTAAGAAGCAAATGAGTTACAGCAGTTATTTCAGCTATGCGTTAAAGAACCAGTATATCGACCGGTATAGATTATTGGATTTTAAACGTTTAAGCCCCCGTGAAATTACAAATTAAAGTTTGTCTTTACAAAGTTTAATTATGAAAATTTTTCCTAATTCTTTGATTTTTTTTATGGACTAAACAATTAACTAACTATTGACAAATTAGGTGTCAAGTGTCACCAAGAGATGAGCACATGTAAAAATCAAGAATTATTTGCACATTTAATTCTAAAAGTAAAATAAGGGCCTGAATGTCAGAATATAGTGAAAAATAGCCATCAAATTTCTTGTTTTGAAAAGCAGCAAATCCTCAAAATCTAGAAGACAGAACTAAAGAATCTAAAATAACTTTATTTAATCGAATATCAAACTTGTTAATTCTTAAAGATATACACAAATTAGAGCAGCTTCAATTATTCGATCCATGCTGACATTAAGCGTAATTCCCTTGTTTTCTACTTGCCGTGAATTTCCAGGATGTTTTTGGATCCGGCGCGTCGATGGAGCTCGTCGATATTCTGTGTGACGACCGTAACCATGCGTCCCTGTTTGCTCAGGCGCTCCTCACACTCGGCAATGGCCATGTGGGCGGGGTTGGGGTTTTTTGTGAGCATGACCTCGCGGCGGTAGTGGTAAAACTCCCAAACACGGGAGGGATTCCTGGAGAAGGCCTCTGGAGTGGCGAGTTTCTACAAGATGAAGATGTGAGGAAAAAGAAAATCTGTGCTGATTGAAAAGTTCCCTAGAAAATCATCAACAGGCTGTTAATAGAAGACACAAGAGAAGGAAGAAGAGACAACTGAGCACAGACTCATCTGCACTGTTTCCACTCAGCTTCAGACACACAACAGAGTTCCCAAATAATCTGGTATTTCAGTTTCTTCTCTGAGTCAGAACTATTTTTTATCATAGTAAAACTCTCAGTGCACTTCCTTGGAGTGACCCCGAGATGCTCGATGAGTACAGACTCAAGAGCTATTAAAGTTTCCTTCAGGGTTTACAGGGCAAAAAGTTTCCCCTTGTGAAAAATGATCACTGTTTAACAACTCTAATTGTAAAATTGACATTTTAATAATGCAGTTTTACACATATTAAAGATTGGCGAAAGCAAATGTAAGGACCGTATTCATTATTTAATATTGTACACTTAGTTGCAGTCAGTTTATTAGGTATACCTAGCTAAAGCTAATGCAGTCTTATACCAGACTCCTGCAATAAGCCCTCGTGAAGGCTTTAATATTTACTTTTGGTATGTATGACATTATACTGACATGTTTTCTATTACTTTAAACACTTGGTCATTGTTCTATAAGACAATTTACTTATATTTCTTCACAGAAGTCGACCAAATGCGGAGATATAGGCCTACTGTGTATACACTTAACACACTTTAAAATCAAGAAGGCCTTGCAACCCCTCCGTGAAGCTTTGGCGACCCCTAGTGGTTGGGAACCTCAGGGCTCGATAACAGAACCACCTGTCAGTATAATGCAATACAGTTCAATAATATAATAACACGGCTGCACACCTGCGCTTCCCATTTCCTCCAGTAGCCTCCTGCTCCTCTGAAGGTGGGGACTCCGCTCTCGGCGCTCACTCCTGCTCCGGTGATGATGGCTATGTTGTTTGCTTTAGAGAAAGTCTCCCTGAATGCAGCGAGGTCTGAGCGGAAACACAAATAATACATCACAAATAAAATGAGAGTAAACGAACGCTTGTGGGATGCGGGTATTTGCTCCTGAGGAAGAGAGAGAGCTACCTGAACTGGGTCTGGCCATGTCTTGGCTAACCCGAGGTCTTCTCAGGAGGGCATACAGGTGAGAGTTTGTTACGCCTCTGCAGGTGACCTGGCGCACAATCATTGGGTTTTAACTGGGGAAGAAAAATATGACAGTATTGAAACACAGCTGACTTTTCCCTTGTGATCACCAGAGCTGCATGAAATGTTATTATTATGAATTATGAATGTTCTGTAGTTTCAAATAGACGTCCTGAACTACAAAGTTTGTTCTCCAGATTTAAGAGAAAAATGTTTTTGTTTTGTTTTGTAGTATAGACCCCCAAACAAAACGTCACATCATCACGATGACAAAACTAAATTTATAACGCAAACACAATCATTGCCACAACTAATCGAGAATCCTACCACAAAATAATGGTAATATAAAGATAAGATTGACTTTATTGATCCCACGCTGGGGGAAAGTCACCCCACAGCAGCTGCAGACACAACAAGAACATAAAGACTAATTAAAATATAAAATATAAGATATAATGATACACTTTGACAAACAGATGGATCACTTCTGGCTGCCCTCTTTGTTTGAATGAACAAAAAAAAAAAAAAAAACTTCTTTAGTGAATATTGTTGTTGATCCAGACTAACAGGAGCTTGTTTGGACACAGGGTGGATGCTGAGGTTGTTCCCAGAAGGTCACTGTGGCTTTATGAAGCTTTAAAAAGGTCATACAACAAGTTAAGAGTTCATATAAACAACCGCAGCTAGCAGGCTACTTCATCATATTCTGTTATTCATTAATATCCGACACCAGCATTAACACTACGATACATTGTTCTACAATATAACAAGCATGGAAGTGACAGCCTGACGTACGGAGGCTGAGTTGGGTCCTTTTTTTGGTGAGATTTAGTTGAGGTTTTTGCTAATGCTAACTAGCTACCTGACAGAAACGGAGCCCACGACCGTCAGCTGGAGGAAGCAGGAAGAACCAATCAGCAGCCACAGCGAGGTAAATAACAACCAATCAGCAGCCACAGCGAGGTAAATAACAACGCCTCCTGCTTCCACCAGAACAACCTATCAACAGCCACAGCGAGGTAAATAACAACGCCACCAGAACAACCTATCAACAGCCACAGCGAGGTAAATAACAACCAATCAGCAGCCACAGCGAGGTAAATAACAACCAATCAGCAGCCACAGCGAGGTAAATAACAACCAATCAACAGCCACAGCGAGGTAAATAACAACGCCTCCAGAACAACCTATCAACAGCCACAGCGAGGTAAATAACAACCAATCAACAGCCACAGCGAGGTAAATAACAACCTATCAACAGCCACAGCGAGGTAAATAACAACCTATCAACAGCCACAGCGAGGTAAATAACAACCTATCAACAGCCACAGCGAGGTAAATAACAACCTATCAACAGCCACAGCGAGGTAAATAACAACCCCCTCCTAAAGAGAAGGCTTCAACATACCATTCCACCATACATCACAACTTCGTAGAGGCTCGTATCGTTCAAAAAGTACTGCACAGGGAATCTTTAAAGTAAAGTATGGAAGCCCACTTATGTCAATGTGAGGTTCTGTAACTCATTATAATAAGAAAACTCAAAGAAATCTCAACATTTTGACTTAATATCTCAAAATAATGACATAGTATGTTGAAATAATTAGAAACACTCCTCAATATTTTCACTTAGTATCTCCAGAACATTGAGATTATATCTCTGAATATTCAGAAACATTTTTAGTTTCTCATCACGCTGCTCAATATATTTTGCACACCATTTTACAGTGTATACAGTGGGTACGGAAAGTATTCAGACCCCTTTAAATTTTTCACTCTTTGTTTCATTGCAGCCATTTGCTAAAATCAAAAAAGTTCATTTTATTTCTCATTAATGTACACTCAGCACCCCATCTTGACAGAAAAAAACAGAAATGTAGAAATTTTTGCAAATTTATTAAAAAAGAAAAACTGAAATATCACATGGTCATAAGTATTCAGACCCTTTGCTCAGTATTGAGTAGAAGCACCCTTTTGAGCTACTACAGCCATGAGTCTTCTTGGGAATGATGCAACAAGTTTTTCACACCTGGATTTGGGGATCCTCTCCAGTTCTGTCAGGTTGGATGGTGAACGTTGGTGGACAGCCATTTTCAGGTCTCTCCAGAGATGCTCAATTGGGTTTAGGTCAGGGCTCTGGCTGGGCCAGTCAAGAATGGTCACAGAGTTGTTCCGAAGCCACTCCTTTGTTATTTTAGCTGTGTGCTTAGGGTTATTGTCTTGTTGGAAGGTGAACCTTCGGCCCAGTCTGAGGTCCTGAGCACTCTGGAAGAGGTTTTCTTCCAGGATATCTCTGTACTTCATTCATCTTTCCTTCAGTTGCAACCAGTCGTCCTGTCCCTGCAGCTGAAAAACATCCCCATAGCCTGATGCTGCCACCACCATGTTTCACTGTTGGGATTGTATTGGGCAGGTGATGAGCAGTGCCTGGTTTTCTCCACACATACCGCTTAGAATTAACGCCAAAAGTTCAATCTTGGTCTCATCAGACCAGAGAATCTTCTTTCTCATAGTCTGGGAGTCCTTCATGTGTTTTTTGGCAAACTCTATGCGGGCTTTCATATGTCTTGCACTGAGGAGAGGCTTCCGTCGGGCCACTCTGCCATAAAGCCCCGACTGGTGCAGGGCTGCAGTGACTTTGTGGAACTTTCTCCCATCTCCCTACTGCATCTCTGGAGCTCAGCCACAGTGATCTTTGGGTTCTTCTTTACCTCTCTCACCAAGGCTCTTCTCCCACGATTGCTCAGTTTGGCTGGACGGCCAGGTCTAGGAAGAGTTCTGGTCGTCCCAAACTTCTTCCATTTAAGGATTATGGAGGCCACTGTGCTCTTAGGAACCTTGAGTGCTGCAGAAATTCTTTTGTAACCTTGGCCAGATCTGTGCCTTGCCACAATTCTGTCTCTGAGCTCCTTGGGCAGTTCCTTCGACCTCATGATTCTCATTTGCTCTGACATGCACTGTGAGCTGTAAGGTCTTATATAGACAGGTGTGTGTCCTTTCCTAATCAAGTCCAATCAGTTTAATTAAACACAGCTAGACTCCAATGAAGGAGCAGAACCATCTCAAGGAGGATCAGAAGAAATGGACAGCATGTGAGTTAAATATGAGTGTCACAGCAAAGGGTCTGAATACTTATGACCATGTGATATTTCAGTTTTTCTTTTTTAATAAATTTGCAAAAACTTCTACATTTCTGTTTTTTTCTGTCACGATGGGGTGCTGAGTGTACATTAATGAGAAATAAAATGAACTTTTTTGATTTTAGCAAATGGCTGCAATGAAACAAAGAGTGAAAATTTTAAAGGGGTCTGAATACTTTCCGTACCCACTGTATATTTTTCATTATAGCCTTATATAGTCTATTATATTAATAATATTCTTATTTTGTGATTCTTTATTGTACTTTTACACGTCTGTACTCTTTGCACTACATTCTCCTACGCTGCTGTGTCTGTTGAATTTCTCCTATACGGGGGATCAATAAAGGAACATCTTATCTTATCTTATTATTTCAAGATACTATGTCATTATTTTGAGCTCAAAATATTAAGTAAGTTTCTGATTAGTGTTTCTCATTATAATGACTTCTAATTATGCAATGATTTATATCATACTGACTCCTGTCACGTTGGTCGGAAGAGTTTTTTGTTTGTTCATAATTCAAAACAAAAACAAAAGTTTGATTTGTTAGATTGGCTGAGAATTAATTTACTGTACTGCCCCACTGTTGTGCTTTGTTACTGAAATAATTGTGAATCCTTTCTCCACTAGAGGCCAGCATTGGATTAATATAGCATAAAGCACAGTGACAACACAAGAATATATTGTGGTGTTTTTTACTATAATAATCCCGTGTGATCTGAGATTTATTGATAACATTACAATTCTCATTGCTTTTGTGTAATACCAAACTCAAGTGCTATTTCAGTCGATTAAGGTGGTGCCAAAACCACACCCTGAATCCTTTTCAGTTCATGTCCCTGCAGTCCTGCTCCTGCTCCATATAGGGGATATATTTAATAAAATACTGTACAATAGTTGGCTTTTATTTTTAAAAAAAAGGAGCATCTCTATATTGATTTCGACAGCACTTACAGGCAATATTGACAATGCTCTTTTGATATTGTGACTTCCACTTCCTTTGTCCCACCCTGAATGGATTTCCATTGGTGTTGTCTAACTAAATTACAACATTATTGACTCGTGGTGTCAGAAATCTTCTCTCAAGGAGCCACATGATGATCGGTGCTTCATGCTGCGAGCTGCAGGCTGATCTGTTGGCTTGAAGGGGAATTTAAAGGAGGTGGGAGAAAACTGGACGTGTCTTTAGATGGTATTGGGGCATTGTCCTTAGTGTAAAGGTGCCTGTGAGATTTACTTTATTCACATCTATATCATATCTTTTTTGTTTTTCCTGTAGTATTACTAAAAGTGATTTATGGGGCTATTTTTTGTGATATATTCAATATTGTCCTTATAATTCTTATGAACCTTTTTATTATTATCATATCAGTGTATCTGTAGATTATTATTTGTGGATTAATCAGATAATTATTCTCTCTGTAACATATCAAATAATAGTGAAAAAACTCACAATATTGCTTATTTGGTTGAACTAACAGTCTGAAGTCTAGTCCAGTATTCAACTTATAGGAGTGTGACAGAAACCTGAAGCCACCAGTGCACATACACAGAGGAAATTAACAACATTAGCAGTTTTAATGATGTAGACGATGGTTTTTTTTAAGGGTTTTAATGTGGAAATTATACTTTTATTTTCTGCAGAAACACACATTATTGTTCCAAGCAGACTATTTAATAGGCTACATGTCTGGAGGGGATCTTTAAATGTACAATCATATTAAAACTGAGGAAAAACAACAAAACCTAAACCTGTTTTAGCATTTTTTGCTTCATAAATGACATTTTAATCCACCTACCATAACTGTTGTCGATTCATTTTCTGTCAGTTGACATCATTTATTCACTGACTAATCATTTCAGCTCTTCCTATAAACCACACAGGAGAGTTGAGATGATGTGGAAGTGGTGTATTGCTTCTCATTGGCCAGTTCTTGTTCTTGGTGGAACTTGAGCAGGTGGAGCTGACTTACAGGAACAGAAGCTCATCAGACCCACCATCTCTCTCTCTCTCTCTCTCTCTCTCTCTCTCTCTCTCTCTCTCTCTCTCCTCCTACCCTCCATCACCATTACAATAGCCCCCCCCCTCCCACACTGTCTGCCCGGGCGGGTGCACGACTGGCTGCTGCGGCGCCGAATCTCTCGCAGTCCCGCCGGTCGCCAGTGGACGCTGCCCGGCTTGGCCGAACATGGCGGCGGCCCCGGAGGAGGAGGTAGACCGCAGACCGATCCGGAGGGTCCGGTCCAAGAGTGACACGCCTTACATCAACGAGGCGAGGATATCTTTGCACCTGGAGACAGGTAGGCAGCCAGCCAGCGACACGGATGCTCTCCGCTTCATGTCTGGGTGTATGTGCAGCCTCCACGGGGGGGAGGGGGGGTATTGTAGTGAACCAGGTTTTTTTCCGCTGTGAGGGAAGATTGCTTCATCGTTTAGTGACAGTTCCCACGCACCAGCATGACTTTGGGCTTTCATTGTGCAGCTCTGACGGGTGCCCATGGTGCTCAGCTGCACCTGGGTGGATGGTAACCACACAGTGACTCATGCACTGGGGATGCGAGCTGGGGAAGAATTTCCCACACAGAGGGCTTTTATTCCGACTGTGCATGCAGTACGCGGTGTGCACGGCTCGGCTATGTACGGGGAACCTAATTATCCCTATAGGACGATTGATTGCTGTTGCTCCAACCAGACTCCGCCTCGGTTTGTCGGCCGCAGTGAAATGCTGTGCGAACTTAGGCCGCCTCTGGCTCCTCATTTAAAATGCAGTCGTTAATATTGGATTTGGAGGAGATGGGTGAGGAATGGGTGCTCCGGCATGCGTGAGATCCTCTCCAAAATGCGTGTGTGTGTGTGTGTGTGTGTGTGTGTGTGTGTGTGTGTGCGCAAGGCAAGGATAGATAAGTTATTGTTTCCTTTGTTGCCATGGTCACGATGCTACGCTGTCACGAAGCCTGGATCATCTTGGTATGGCTTTACAGCTAGATCCGTGCTCATTTTATTTTAATTTTAAAATAAGATCTTTCTCCTATAAGGAACCCCCCCCCAGCGTCCCTGAGGAAGGCTGCTTTAATATCACATCAGTGCGGAGCTGTCCACTGCCCCCTCGGTGCTGAAAATGCCACCGAGCAGAATAGGCGAACAGAGCCCCTGAAGGATTTGCACGCATTTCTCTATTGGTGATCATCATTCACAGTACTTATATATATATATATATATATATATATATATATATATATATATATATATGTATGTATGTATGTATGTATGTATATAGGAGAGGGGGCTTTTTTTTTTAGCTCCAAATGAGCTTCATATTGTGTCAGACCCTCCCCCAGAATTGCCCGATGTGACAAATCCCAGTCACATGGTGTGTGTGTGTGTGTGTGTGTGTGTGTGTGTGTTAGCCTGGTTGTCTAGGCTAGAGTCAAGCCTATATTTTCCATTTCGGACAGATGCAGTCTATAGAAAGATTCCCCTGCCTGGTTATTGTTCTGCTTTGTCTTCATTTTCTCTTTTCCCACCTCCGTCCTGTTACCCATTGTAACCCTCAGCCAATAATTCATTAAGATTCAAAGGTCTGTTTTTTTTTCTTTTTGGCCCCCGAGCTGAGATGAGAAATGTATGTGAAAAACCATCCTTACATAAATCTTAATGAGATCAGGAATTACTCACATGCTTGCTCTGTGTTTTGCCCCCCCAACCCCTCCAACCTCTCTCTTTCAGCCTGGTTAGACCTTTATGACTCATGGTGTTCAGACCCACCTACTCATAATCTCTCTCAGCTGCCCTCTCTCCGGCCCTCAACAATCTTCCTCTCCATTTTGTTTTTTCTATTAAGCGCCTCCTCTTAGCGAGATTAGCCGAGCCTCCCCCCAATAAATTGAGTAACACTATTCTTTCTTGGAGCTTTGTGTGTCAGGCTTTCCATCAGGCATGGCTTGAATCTGAAGGAGGGAGGGGGGGAGGGAGGGTGCTGCTGTGTCTTGCTAACAGTGCTGCTCCTGGCTATTAGCTGAAAACAGAGTAGGCAGGCTGCAGCTGCATGAGGCTGGTGTGGCATCATCGAGAATCCAGCAGTCAGTGCCAGATCAGGGGAGGGACATTTGTCTCCACACCTCTCTCACTCTCTCTCTCTCTCTCTCTCTCTCTCTCTCTCTCTCTCTCTCTCTCTCTCTCTCTCTCTCTCTCTCCCTAGAACCATTCCTGTTTTATCTCCCTTCCTTTCTCTATCTCTTCCCAAACCAAAATTGCTTCGGCCTAATCTCATATTATTTTCTGTCACCACTGAAGCCATCTGCCCACCCACTCCCTTCGTTCCCATTTACCTCATGTTTGTGCTGTTGTTTTGCATAAATCCAGCCCACTCTCTGCTTTGAACGGGACAAATATCCACGCCACCTCACCTTCAGCGTGCATGTGTTGATATGCATCCTTATGCACGTGTGTGTGTGTGTGTTTTGGATTTAGTAAGCAAGAGTTTATTACTGAGGCTTCTGTCAGACTGCTCCTCACCCACGTTCACTACAGAACCAGGATGAGTTCTTTGCTGTCCACCATTGTTATCAGTGCAGAATCATCCCTCTGTTGTCCTCCATACCTTTACTGACCTCATCTATTTGCATTAGAGGCAATATAGGGAGAATGATTGGCAATTTTAAGACATAAAACATGAATATACTGGCTGAATCTAATATGCAGATAAACTGCTAAAAGTTGCATTTGTTTACATCTTGAATTTTATCTTCATATCTTCCCTAAATAGTGTACTTAACAGTTTTTCATACAACATCACATGTATATTCTTTATCTGCTTGTTCCACCACTTCATTGGAGCTATATTTTTATTATTTCATTGTAAAATTAGTTGATGGCGCTAAAGAACTTCAGACAGAGGAGGTCTTGGCGAACAAATGCGTCAACAAAGAATGTGACGTTTGGCAGATTGCTGTTTCCTACTTTCAACCATGGTCCTGATTGTTCCCCAATCCTAACCAAGTAGTTTTGTGCCTAACAGTAACCTTCCCGAACTTTAACCATGTCGTATTTGTGCCTTAGACTAACACACGTAACCATGGCAGGTCACAACACAGTCATATGAATAATTTCTGAGGCAGTGGTTTGTTAAGATTTTGGAACACACTGATAAGCCATCTTGCAGAAAAGGTGTCAGATCAGAGATCATTCTTTGAAGGCAACGATAAATGATCTAATTATTCATTCAGTTTGGAAGAGAATTTAAAGCTGCTGAATTTTAAAGCTATTTGTGGACACTACGGGGAAGATGAACTATGAAACAGTGACAGCTCTGATGTATTATGGCCTGGAGACATCGTAACGGCTAATGTGTTGGCAAACATTTTCCTGCTTACACATCCAGCAGAAACAGAGCAACTAAAGGAGTTATTGTGAGTTTGATGAATTTAAATTAAATAATTACTTTCCTTTTGGCTGTGGTTTCTGTGGTTTGTCTCCTGAGAAATACGTCTGACTCTTTAGCTGCTAGATGTTTCACTGTCTTCACCAGCTAGTCTCTAACAGTGTCTGTCCACTGTTTGATGCTGGGCAGGTAGTGTACACTGAGTTTGTCAGAGCCTGTTTGCTTAAAATAAGGTGGATGAGAGTGGACTGAAGCAAAGAGTAAATGAGCCGTAAAACCACAACAATGAGCAAAAAGAAGCTTGGGGCTCATGGTAGCTCACCTGGTAGAGAGCGCGCTCATGTAGGCTGAGGGCTTACACATCAGCCCGGGTTCGATTTTAAGCTGCGGCCCTTTGCTGCATGTTGTGTCTGTCAATCATTACCTGTCCTATCGAACACAGGCATAAAAAAACAACATATTTTTTAAATAGGCTGAAAAGCTCTGTAGAGCTCAGAGCTAGGTGAAAATAATCTGATAATATTTGCGCCAAGTTTGACGTCACCCATTAGTTTCTAGTACTGGTTTAAAGCCTCAAGTTTGGCATTATAGCCATCGCCATCTTGGCTTTCCTGGAGCCAATAGTGGGGTCAAACTGCGAGTTGAGCTCCTCTCATTGACTGCTCAGTTTCAACTTGTCTATAGCAGAAAACAATGGCAGCTCGCCTGGTCACACACATTCTCATACTACAGACAACCCATACACTAAAATATGTTTCAGATTTGAGGAGAGAAATAGTCAACGCAGTAACAGAAGTTTGACAGTTTGATCTGAGTTTGGTGCGTTGAGCTGGACGGACTCACTGGGAATGACCTGTCAATCACAAGGTATTAAGAGTATTGAGGAGATGAGACCATAAACTCATTAGAATTTTTACTGAGCTCATAAATCAACTGAGAAGTCGGATCATTGCCCTATAAGACACAATACTATCTGACCTCTTTTTTTTAGCCCATGGAGCTGCCCCCTGCTGGCCATTAGAAGGAATGCTTGTTTAAGACACTTCCACGTTGGCTTCACCCCGGAAACTCTGTCCACTAATTATATACTGTCAGTGTTTTGAACAATGATTGTTAAGTACAAGTTGCATTTGTTATTATGGACCTACCAGTCAGTCTACTGTGGTTTAGGTAATTAATAAGATACCTAAAATTTAAAACTTCTGCAATACTGCATCATTTTGATGTCATTCTTTATTTTTTTTATGCCAGTTTATTCTACCAGATTCAATCCAAAGCCTGTCTTTTGTTTTGTTTTCTCTGCTGTGTACCATCATCTAGAGCCAGTCCGGATCCCAGGCAGCACAGCTCTGCTCCAGCAATGTAAATCCAGGTCAGCTCGGTTAGAGCTTAGCCATCCTCACAAAGACCAAGGCGCAGGCATTACCATGCTGTCATTCAAACACGGGAGCTCTAATAAAGACCTGAATGAAAGACCGAGACAGAAAGGGCTTAAATGAGAGGAGGTGGAGGAGCAAGAAGAGTCTGAGGATGAGGACAGGATGGCAGGACGGAGGCTAGTAAATTGTGGCAACATAAAGATTGGCACAGTGAAAAAGAAACCGAGTTGGCTGTCGTCCATAGAATATGGTGGGAACGGTGCACCACCTCCCGCTATGTGAGCAATGCTCTTTGTCTCTCTCATGCACGTACATCAACTGAGCTATCTGCATACAGGCCTCGAGCAGCAGAATGGCAGAAGTACCTGGGCAGAATACAAAAGCACAGGAGGAAGTGCGAGAGCTTTAAATGCAGAGGAGTACTTCCTGCCTCCCACTAACCATACAAAACCACTCACTCTTCCTCCACTGGCACGTGGGTCCATCCATTCAGCCCAGACAAGCTAACCTTTGTGCTGAGAGAGAAAACCTGAGCCAGGGAAGGCTTTTGACTCGGCTGACAATCGGGATACTGGGAAGGTCTTTTAGCTGATGTGATGTCAGAGTACAGGAAGACATATCGACAAATACCATATCGCGATACTTTGTTTTGTGATGTATCGATTGTCAAATACACTGTATTGATCAAGATAGCAGTGTTGTGCATAAACTGAGGCCTGTGATGTTGGATGTAACAGGGACTGATTAATACAAATGCAGATCCCACTGTTCCGGTTGCATAGAAAAGGTTTTTATGTGTTCTTCATACTATGGCAGTTTGTCTTGCCGACAGTATCGTGATATATCGAAACGTAACCCCTGTATTGGGATGTGTATTGCCCTTTACTTTATTCTATTTTATCAAAGGAAACCTCAATGTAAAGTGTAAAAACGTAGTAGACGTGATAAGTAAGTAATCTTAGTATCTTGGGTTTATACCTTTACGTAAATCTCCTATAAAAGTGAGGTAAGTCAGGCGCTGAGAAAATACCTTTGAGGTTGTCGTCAGTTGACAGTGACTCAGCAGGAAGTGTGTCTTTGACCAATCTGCTGATTGGTCAAAGTCAGGTGACAGCTCCTTAAAAGTGAAACCTTTTTTTCTTCTTTAACTAGTTTGGTTTCAAGAAAGAGAAGCGTCTTGTGGTGGAAATTCAATTCAGCCCATTCATGTGAGATGCAAGAATTAAAAAAAAGTCAGTCAATCAGTCTTTTTCCCCGGGTGTAGCTCTGCGCAGAGCGAGCCTCTCAGCTTGACAGCATGAAAAGGTCTCTCTTCTCAGGGCTGCACCCTCATTTACTGAAGAAGCAAAAACAGGAGGTACAAAGTAGGTAACAGCTAGTCATGCTAACGAGCATCATGACCTTGTATTCATAGGAGATGCCTGGAGCCAGTCTCCACCGGGTTCAGCCTCTCCTCCCTCAATAACAGAGACATTGTAACCACAGGTTGACTGTTAGTCTTTATCGTGTGGGAAAATTACCAGGTGCTGAGAGCAACCTTGGAACAGATATACATTTTGCACACACAGTAGTTCATAAGCACGAGGTTACATATAGTGTATTATAGTGTATTAAGATTTTCCATTACACTCCCCCCTTTTGATCATACCATTGATCAATAAAAAATATGTACAAAATTTTCAACTGTGTGGTGTCAGTAACTGAAATTCACTCAGATTCAAACAGTTACCATTATCAGAGAAAATGAAAGCCATTGCTGTTTTTGTAAAGTCATAGGGACCTTGTATGATAGCGCAAGCAAGGGGGAACTCAACAAGTTATTTACACAGTATCTGAGGCTTCAGTGTCATCAGTATCATCAGTGTCATCTCCATAATCTGGAATAGGAAAAAGAGCGGGTGTGTTGGTGGGGAGATCCTCTTTTCCCGTGAGAGGGGAGTAAGCTAGGAGTTGGCGAGTTAGCATTGATGAGATTTGACGTCGTATGAGAGGAATAAGACAGGGGGTTAGAAGGATGAACAGGAGCAAGATAACCCCTGCCTTCAATAATAACCCTTTCCAGCTAGAGAACAACCACTGGAACCAATCTTCACCTAGGTTGTGATCCGCAATCATAGCCGCTTGCAAAGCAGTGATATTAGCTATACCTTCTGAAATAACATGACCATCAGCATCATTTTCAGGAACAAAAGTACAACAATATTCCCCCACCAGTGCACAAACTCCCCCCTGTGAGGCCGTAAGTTGATCTAACACCAGACAGTTCTGCATTGAGAGCAAACGCAATGACGTAAGTTCATCCTTTACGCCTTTCAGTGTGGACAGGGTGTAATTTAGAAATGTTTGCAACCGATAATCTACAGTCTCCAATCTCAGTGTGTTCTTTGCAGTACCGACCCATGGAAATAGAGCCATGGCTACCTTTTCACTGGTGCTCCAGTGTTTGAATTGTTGAGGCACATCAGTGCCCCAGATGGGGTCGTGGCGTGCGAAGGTCGGTGCGTTACGTCGTTGGCGCGGTCTGTCGTCAGAGTATGTGTAGATTACAATAGTATGATCTGATACTAATACTGGAGCGCAGACACCTGACCAGTGAGCCCTAAGATTCGCGTACACTGTGTTTCCACACAGCCACCAAGCCTGGGACACTGGGTACGTGCCATTGTCACCAGGTACATAGTTGAAAGGGATGCCGGTGCAATTGTAACCGCTGGGGCAGGACATGTTAATCAACTTAAATACGGCGCATCGTGAGTTATCTAAGTCATTACATAAGGGCTGTGTGCTGCTTGGGGAAGTAGGATATCTGTTAAATGCATACAGTTGGTCAGGGGGAATACACGGCTGGGAGCTGTTCCTAATGTTAGCGTTGCTACAGTTGTCATTTATCACTATGTCTGCCGCAATGAGTACTCTCAAGCAGTGGCGAGCTGGGATCAGTCCCACAGAGTGAGTGCCTGTTTGCGCTACACAAATAGGGTGGACTTGGCCATGAGCTGGAATTACCGGTAAGGTGAATTGGTCTGCAGAGCCGGGAAGACGGACAACTGAGTGGGGGCACGTGGTGGAGTTATAAACTGTACCATTACTTACCCAGTCGTGCACTACTCCCCTAGAGGCCAATTGGAGCCAGCAGTCGACATACGGTCCCTGTAAGGGGCGGACAGTGACCTTAGGGTGAGTGGACGCCACTGGCATCAGGGAACAAACATAGCAATTGCAATGATTCGCGGAGCGAGCAGTGTGATTAGCGTAGCGCCACCATAGATTATGCTGATAGAGGTGTTCTACCTTCGGTGGAGGGTTCAACCAAGGGTGTGACATTGTTTTTACCTGTCCTGCTGTCCTACATGTTCGTGTGCGGTTTGTGTGGTTTGCTGACGTGGTTGTGTTATGTCGTTCAGGTGTGTGTGTTTCAATGGTGAGCAAAATGGTTACCACAATTACCACAGAAATCAGCCCAAGGCAACAAAGTGTCCCTCTAAGGCCGCACAGCCCTGGCTGTCTGAAGGGGTGCCATGGTCTGGTGCGGTCCATGGCGTTGTCGTTGTCAGGTACTTCAATGTGTTGTCCCTATTGTAGAGTTGGTTGAGGGCAGTGTAACTGCGTACGTCACTTGTGACGCTCACTTAATCAGCCACCGCTAGTCGTGCTGGCCAATGTCAGTGACACCCTCGTCGTTGGTCTGTTGTGTCTGAGTGGTTGTGCTAGGGTCCGGTACCCTTCTGCAATGGCTGGCGTGGATCCAAGTGGCTCTTTCAGCAACCTTTATTGCTGTGTGGGTTGTGAGTAACACCTGAAATGGTCCCTGCCACCTTCCGGCTTGCCAGTTTTTTCTCCTGAAGTCTTTCACCACTACGTAGTCCCCTGGCTGCAGAGAGTGCAGTGGGAATGATGCCGGCCGTGGGAGTGTTGCTGTCACCCGCTGTCTTATGGAGGAGAGAGCAGAGGAGAGGTTAGTACAATATGTGATCATGTCATGCTCACACAGTGAGGTGGAAGGGGGTGGAGAGTTCGGAGGCTGTGTTCCAACATGGGGAGGCTCTGCAAACAATACTTCAAAAGGTGACAGATTTGTTCTGGCCCTCCTCCTCATTCTCATGTACATCAGCACCAGGAGCAGAGCTCTTGTCCACGAGAGACCTGTGTCTTCACAGCACTTAGCTTGTTTAGGGTTCCATTCTCTCTCTCTACAGCTCCGCCACTAGCAGGATGGTATGCGCAGTGTGTTCTAAGATCAAACCCCATGTAGCCACTGATTTGTTTAATAGCCTCATTTACAAAATGGGTGCCATTGTCGCTGGAGATTCTGCCCTGGATGCCCCATCTCGGGATTATCTCCGAGAGACTCGCCTTTGCCACCACGCTGGCGGTTTGTTTGGAGGCTGGAAAAGCCTCAACCCATTTTGACCACATGTCTACCATTACTAAACAATGTGACTTTCCCTCTGATGGGGTGAGCTCGATGAAATCCATCATTACGTGTTCAAAAGGTCTAGTGGGTGGTGCATGCGCTGCCTGGCCTGTGACAGCCACTGGTCGTCCCACATTATGTGTTGCACACACTATACATGCTTGACAATGTTTTTGAGCGTACAGTGAAAACCCCTTTGTAAACCAAAACTCGGTTATATCCTTCAGCATCCCCCCTTTTGACACATGGTCTTTACCGTGTGTCAATTTAGCATAGTGAGGAAAAAATTTCCTGGGGAGACAAGGCTTGTTATCAGGACCCAACCAAACGTCATTTTTGAAAACGGCCCCGCATGTTTTCCACAGTCGCTTCTCATCCGCTGTGGCAGAAGCCTGCATTGCTGTGAGAGAGGAAGGGAGGGCATTAGTGTGTGTGTAAGGAGGGTGTACAGGAATGTGAGAGTGAGTCTGAGGAAGTGGTAAAGAAGCCGCTGTCTTAGCAGCTGCATCTGCTCTGGCATTGCCTAGGGAGACAGTATCTTGCTGCCCTGTATGTGCTGCACAATTACATACTGCTACTCGTGTGGGTAGCATGATTGCAGAGAGCAGGTCACTGATCAGGTTGTGGTGTGCAATGTGTTTGCCTGATGACGTGAGAAATCTCCTGTGACGCCACAACGCCCCAAAATCATGTACCACCCCAAATGCATATCTGGAGTCAGTGTAGATGGTTACTGACTTCCCTTCTCCCAATTTGCAGGCCTCAGTGAGCGCTATGAGCTCCGCTGCCTGTGCTGAGAGGTGGCAAGGAAGAGGGCCTGAGCGCAGGATGGCACTGTCTGAAACAACAGAAAAAACCAACACAGTTATTGCCAGAAACAGGGTTCCTGGAGGCAGAACCATCAACATAGAGAACCAAGTCAGCATTCTGCAAAGGAACATCAGACAAATCAACACGTGGTGTGCATTGTATTTGTAATTCAGCCAGGCAGTCGTGTTCCTCCACTTCATGAGGGAGAGGAAGGAGTGTGGCTGGATTCAGAACTGTGCATCGTTTAACAGTAACATTCGGCATGTCCAATAACACAGTATGGTATCTTAACCAGCGGGCAGTGGATAAATGAGACGTTTTCTACTCGAGTAGGATGAGTGAAACCGCGTGAGGAACGAGCAAGGTGACGTCAGAATTGCCAACAATGTCTCTTGAGGCCATTAAAGCCTTTTCACACGCTGCCACGGCGCGCAGGCAGCGTGGAAAACCTGCTGCAACCGGGTCTAATTTGGCAGAAAAGTAAGCTATTGGTCGGAGTCGATCACCGTGAGGCTGCGTTAATACTGACGTCATACAACCTTCCCTCTCATCCACGGCCTGAGTGAACGGTTTCGCAGGATCGGGGAGACCCAATGTGGGTGCGCGCTGCAGCTCCTCTTTCAGTGTGAGAAACGCCTGGTATGCCTGTGGTGTCCAGGTCACGCGATCGCTCGAGGAGAGATTTTTCCCGTGGTACAATGCACCTAAGGGAGCTTCGAAAAGAGCAAAGTTAGGAATGAATGTACGGCAGTACGAGCATGTTCCCAGAAATGACATAACTTGTTTCTTTGTTACAGGTTTGGGTAGAGTTCTTATCGCTTCAATGCGTTTTGGAGACAGTGTTTTTCCTTTCCCTGAAATGTCATGGCCCAGAAATGTAACTGCCTGTTTCACATATTGCAGTTTACTCAGGCTGACCTTGTGACCTTCTGTGGCGAGGTGTCTGAGCAGTTTAAGTGTGTCTCTTTCGCACTGCTCTTGGGTTGGGGGAGCAATGAGCAAATCATCAACATACTGCAACAATGCAGTACCTGGGGTCAACACTAGGGGGTCAAGGCTGGCACTTAAAGCTTGGTTGTAGAGGGATGGTGACTCACAATAACCCTGACATAACCGAGTGAAGGTATAGGCTTTCCCTTCAAAGTTGAATGCAAACCAGAACTGACTGTCAGGGTGCACAGGAACACTGAACAAAGCATTAGACAAATCCACAACAGAAAACCACTTTGCCCCTGGAGGTATTTGTGCTAACAAGGTGTATGGATTTGGCACAATAGGTGCATGTGGTATCACAGCGTCATTCACAGCCTTCAGATCTTGCACAAAGCGCCACTCCGTAGGCTGACCCCTGTCCCTTATCTTTTTCACAGGGAAAATGGGGGTGCGTACGGGGGAGTCAGGGCAAGGAATGATAACACCAGCCTGCAAAAGAGAGTTGAATACAGGAGTTATGCCCTCAATTGCTTCCTTTTTTAGTGGATATTGTTGTTTGCATGGGCGGTAAGTGGATTTAGGTGTTATTTTCACCGGTGCACAGTTTTTTATTAACCCCACATCGTACTTTCCTTGCGCCCACAAGGTGTCAGGTAGTGACGCCAATGCGGGGACGCATCAGTTGGACAGGACACAAATGATTGAGAGCAGTGAGATCTGGGAACGCTCAACAAATAGACTGAGCGCAGGGCATTGGTTGTGCAATGAAATGGTTTTTTATAGATGTTAAAACAGGCAGAGTACATAACTGATGGGTCCGCAGTGGGGCCCCAATCCGATATGTTAGGGCATTTTTTAACAAACAGCCCCAGATCTTTCCATTCGTCTGTTGTGGCTTTGGAGAGCGAGATGTGAGGGCTGGAAGACTTAGCATGAAATTCCTTCATTTGCCTGTCAGTCAGCGACACGGACACTGCGCACCGTGTTTCTGACCAAAACAGGGTGGAGGTACACAAACATCATTTAAATCACGATAAAAATGTTTCTCAAAATCATGGTCTGGACCCTCGGAGACATAGGCTGTACAAAGTATGCTTCCAGCTCTCATAAAGTCAGCATGACGGGACACTAACTCTCTGGCTTGTCTGAGCAGGTCTGTGGCAAAGGGGTGTGGTATTCTCCACTGATACACATACAGAGGGGTTTTTGCACTGTGTTGGACCATGGAGAGTGCATGGTGTCTGCGCACCACTTTCAGACCTCCAAACTAATGTTCAACGTCAGCATGAGATCTCTGCCTAACACATTTATGGGGCAGTGTGGGGAAAGTAAAAACCCATGTTTTGTTGAGACTGTATCTCCATCAATTGTGTTTGAACAAATTTCCACTCATTTTCGCATTTGTGAGGTGTTTTTCTTGAATGACTGAATAAGTTGCCCCTGAATCCACTAAAAAATTCATATGCTTCCCATTTATAGCAACATTGTTTCGGGCATACGAAGGAAAGGTTCTGTATTGTATTTTACATATGTACCTGCTAGAGGTGTTTTTCGCATGCGCTGTTCTAAGTGAGCAATTGCCTGCTCTACTAGCTCTCTCTCTCTCTGTGTGTGTGTGTGTGTGTGTGTGTGTGTGTGTTTCACTTCCCTTTAAGGATGTGCAGGCAGGATCACAGCTCGTCTCCTCTCCCCGTGCCCCTCCATCCGCCTCTCAATCGGAGTAAGCCTTAGTTTTGTTTGTTCTGCCGTAGTTGTCTGGGTTATCCGGACAGTCCTTTGCCCAGTGTCCCTGTTGTCCACAGATAAAACATCCGGTGGAAAATGTTCCCCAATCTGAGCGTCCGCGTCCACGTCCGTGTCCGTGACCTCCCAGTCCTCTGCCACAGCCCCTGCCGCTTTAATTGCGGGTTGTAGTCCATTTAGGAACCAGTGGCGTAGGTGTGATGAGGAGAGAAACATTGTAGAGTCAGCTGGGCCTGTCAGGTCGCGCCCTCCCACTGCTCCTCTTTCAGTGTCCAGATTGGCGTGTGCTGGGGACTGTGGCGGTGCAGTCGGTGGCGTGGGTATGGGCTGGTTTGATGGATCTGGGTGTTGGTACGCCGGTGGTGGCTGCGGCGGAGGGTACGAGTGGAGGAGAGGACCTCTGTGACCTGAGAGGGAAGGATAAAGAGACCTCTTAGGTTTCACTTTGTCATATTTTCCATCATCTTTCACATTCATCTTAGTCATCTGACTTTGGAACTGTTTTCTTTCTCTGTGTTCCGCTTCTTCTTCCCACATTTTTAAACACTTTCTATGGCTATCCATCTCTTCCAAGTCCTTTGTTTTTACTTTCTTTTTCTTTCTCATATCTTCCTCTTTCTTTTCTAACTGCGACCTTATACCGTATTTCTTCGTCATTATGTCCACTATAGGCCCCTCTGGAGGAGGTTGTCCTTCTCTACTTCCCTTATTTCCCATTATTGAGTACTCTTTTTGTGCCCGGATCTCTTATCCGTCACTTAAACACAGACGTCTCTGTGAGTTGCGGTTTCTTATTTGGTTTCGGGGTTAAATTGCATTAAAACTTTCCCCGCGGTCTCCGACCACTGTGGTTTCTGTACCACTTTAAAGTCAGATACGGACGTGGACTATAGTGACATGTATGATTTTTCAAATACACAATCAAATGCCTTCTACACAACAAATGTTTTCTCTTTTTTCAGAGCTCAGAAAGTTCTAATATCGTCGTTAGAAATTTTACATCTCACCGGATCAGGCCGTTGATTCCTTTATCTGAACCCAATCGGTCCGTTGGATCTCTGCGGGGACGACCTGGTCTCCCCCGGCCAACGGTCCTCTCTTCTCTTCAAACTAAGGAGGTAGAGGTGGAATCTTTTTCCAGAAGGCAAGTCACCGTTGGCCCTAGGAGTCCAGGCGATCACCGAGAAATCCTGTTCGTGACGCCAAGTTTGTGGTGGAAATTCAATTCAGCCCATTCATGTGAGATGCAAGAATTAAAAAAAAGTCAGTCAGTCAGTCTTTTCACCCGGGTGTAGCTCTGCGCAGAGCGAGCCTCTCAGCTTGTCAGCATGAAAAGGTCTCTCTTCTCAGGGCTGCACCCTCATTTACTGAAGAAGCAAAAACAGGAGGTACAATGTAGATAATAGCCAGATATGCTAACAAACATCATGACCTTGTATTCATAGGAGAAGCCTGGAGCCAGTCTCCACCGGGTTCATCCTCTCCTCCCTCAATAACAGAGACATTGTAACCACGGGTTGACTGTTAGTCTTTATCGTGTGGGAGAATTACCAGGTGCTGAGGGCAACCTTGGAACAGCTAGACATTTTGCACACACAGTAGTTCATAAGCACGAGGTTACATATAGTGTATTATAGTGTATTTAGATTTTCCATTACAGTCTCAAATGTCGCCTCACAGGCAGAAGTATTTCCTGCACTGCAAAAATGAGATTTAATTACCTTGGGAGCTGATGGAATGATTCTGCAGTGCACAATTTATGTCTGCTGCCAAAAATAATTGCCAATGCAGACAGAATAATGTGCCCGTAACAAAGTGAGTTTCTTTGTCAAAGGGAATCCAACCGAATCTGACCCGTTGGCAGGCATTAAGGATAACTGTATAGAAATTGCCAATCTTCTCTTGTTTGTTTATGTAGGTCATATAGAGGCATCAGTATTACATTGAGACTGTTTCATAACCAGTTAAAAAACTCCTTGTGGTGCGTTTAATAATGTCAGTATGGCTGTGTAAAGATTGTGGACTTTTTGTACTCAACATTGAGCTGAGTACTCGGTAGGTGTCATTCGTTGTTGTAGATATTCTCATACTGGATTCAGACTTTTCATATTTACTCATTGAAAACTGCAGTGAGAGTTAATGGGCTTTATGCTCCATCCCTACTCTAGTGCAATCTTGGTGTTGTACTGCACTCAGTGGGTAGAAAGTGGTATTCCTCATTTTCTTTTACTCGCTTTCCCTCAACCTGCTTCAGCTCTCCGCCGTCTCTCAAAGTCTTTTCAAACCCCATAATACTAGCATACTATATGTCCTCAAGGTCTAACATATATACCTGTAAACATTTCCTTCCTCATAAAACATTATAACCCTGTCTTTGTTTACATCCATGTTCATTTGCTGGCGGTGCCTGCGTGACCTCGACAAAATGGGGACCCACTGGGAGAAAATAAGAGGAAAAAAAAGATGTTTTTCTAAGCACTCGATTTGTCTCAAAATGTTCCCAGAGGTTGTCTTACCACCCTTTGTTTTTTGTTTACATACATTCTCTCCTTTTTTTTTCTCTGCGCATTGCATTGTGGGAAAATCTCTACATAATTAGCACACTCAAAATTCAAAGCCCCTCCTTGAACAAGCATTAAGTATAGAAGTGGGACACAGTTTCAGTGTATTTGTGTCCTCTTTAGACAGCGTGTGTGTAGGATTGACATATAAACGAGTGGTGGAGATGGCATTAACCACAGCTGAGTGTTTATAGGCTGAGACAGCTGTCAATCAAGGGAGCACACATCCAAATGTGTGAATTTAGAAGCCTTAATATCTTTTTAAATTAAAAAAATATTTAGAAATTGTTGCATATGAAATTAGTTAACCAAAGACTAGTTAATGTCAGTAAACATTTGGGGAAGGAGCTCAAATAATAAACAAATTTTGCATTTTTATGTATATTTGACCTCATTGTTTGACCAACTTTGATATATTTAGGTTGTATTTTTATTTGTATATACACAATTAATAAGAATACTCTTTAAAATTGACTGTTGCCTTACATTTACTATCCTACTGACGTTTACTGTGCAATTATAAATGAATTTCTGGCCTCATTATGATGTGCCTCTAACTCAAAATTTAAAAGATCCTTTAAAAATGGTCTGTTTTTATGCACAAAAAGGATATTAATTTTTATTTATATTATATATATTTTAACACATTCTGTATCCTCCCAAATTCAGGTCAGTCCCCATTTATGTTGTTTTTGTGCCGCATTGCATTCAGTAATGTCATTTCTGGGTCTTAATCCCTTATTGGCTGCCTACAATGTCGTATTCCTTGTTTTGTAACCTGCCTGTGAGCCTCTCTTTGATATTTGTCCCCCCCTGTGGTTGCTTTAAGTGTGCCCCCTTGTGGTTCATCCCTGGGCACTTCAGCTTTGGGGGGAAGCTGCAGGATTCGTCCTCAGGCGCCAAAGAAATACACAACCAAACCACAAAATGCAGCCAGAGATGCAAGACACATCACCAGTAGCTGCTGTTTCTTTTTTTTTTTTTTAGCAGTCTTACAGTTTTTTCTGTGCCCATTTTAAGTATGCTGCCTGTATTGGTGAAGGCCACCTATCAAAATAGATGAGCTGCATACAGGAGACAGAGAGAGGGAGAAGAGAGGGGTGACTCATATCCCTGTGATATGCCAAGTCTCACATTCACACTTTTACAGGGATACACACACACACACACACACACACACACACACTCACACACACACACACACACACACACACACACACACACACACACACACACACACACACACACACACACAAGCTCCTAGAGGCTCTGCTGTTCTGTCACTTTGTATTAATTCAGCACATAGCGGGTCCAGTCAGAGGGAGGATGGAGGGAGGAGGGAGTGGGGGGGTGGTTGAACAGTGAATGGCAGAGAGAGAGAGAGAGAGAGAGAGAGAGAGAGAGAGAGAGCTCAAGCAACTATAGGAAGAAGAGAAAACATTGAACTTTGTTTTGCCTTTGAACTCGCAGACTTTCTTTTGTCCTTCCTCAACCCGTCAGACATTGTTTTACACTGTTCCCATGTGTTTGCTGCTGTGTTGATGCCAACACATGTCTAGACAGATGGAGAAAAGAAAAAGGGACTAAAGGAGACCAAAACAAGGCACAGAAGCTCATGTTGTCTTCAGAAAATGCAGTTTTTTCCACATTTAAGGGCTGCAGCTTCATACTGATACCATGGTTTACCATAAATTGGCGGTTATTAGACTATGTACATTATAGAGTTCTACTATTACTGTTATTTTAAAAAAAGAAAAAAAAAAGAAATTATAATTAAGCATTTGTTTTCATAAGCGCCATTGTAACTGATGATGATAATAGTTGTGTAATACTGTATACTGTGAAACTATGAGACTGTTATTGTACCATGAAAATCTCACACCGTTACTATCCCTTCAGTCAGTTTTATTCATATTTACCAAAATCTGTAATTTGATCAGATATAGATAAAGAAAAACTAGGGATCCATCTTTCCATGGCTCTCTCGCCTTGGGATATGAAGTTGTTTCCAGTTTCTTAGCATACAGTTCATCAATAATTCAAAATAATCTGAACCTATAAATGGATAACAAATGTTGAATCTCCTTTTTTTTGTATAAAATAGCAAAGTCCTATCAATTTCTACTTAGCAAAATAACCTAAACTGGGAATAAAACATGGTTTATTGGAGAGGAGTTGTGTGACTTGTTTGTTTTTTAATGGACTTATTCATTATTATTATTATTGTTATTATAATTGTTGACAAACACCATGAAAAGACCAAAACCACCAGCGTGTTAGTCCGTTTGTCAAAACAAATTTTTGGATTACATTTCAAAAAGACACGTTCTCTAGATGTTACAGTCTAGACAGCTTTGGGTCAAATTTCCCTCATCTTTCATTTCAACATGAAAACAATTAGAGGTTGTTATATTGATACGATTCATACGGTTTGTTGATAATCAGGCCTTGAAAAGCATTTAATTTAGTTCCCTGAAAAAAGGCCCTAAAGAGTTTTAAAAAGTTAAAAATTGAGTTTATAAAGGTTTTGAACATTTTTCTCTCCTGCCCTAGATGGTAACATGAGTTATAACTTTTTTGTGTACGTGGTTTGAGATGTTCTACAAATATAAACTGCAAGTGAGAGACTGGTAGTGTGAACTGTAACTGCACCAGCAGCAATAGCACTGTTACCTGCTGCTAGCCTCAGTAGCTTGGAAGCTTGCTGACTCATAATGGGCAAAAACTTTAATGAAATAAAATAGATTCATTGGTTAATCCACCCTTCTTGTTTCTGCCACTTATCTGGGTTCATGTTACTTCATGATTATATTACTAGGAACTATACAGCTGTTGAGTGCTGACAGAAATGTGATGTAAATGTCAATAAGTTCATGTACTTAATAAAAAATAATTGTAGGTCTTATTGTCCCTACTGGTTTCCCATAATTCTTCGACCGGTATGACACCATAAAAGGTATTAAATTGCAGTCATTGAGGTGTTAAAAAGGTCATAAAAAGTCATAAATTTAACGCTGCAGGAACCCTGATAATAATGACATATTGGCCACACTGACAGTATATCAGGGTGTTTGTACGTCCCTGTAACGCTCCTATCCTGGAGCGATGATGATAATTTTGTGGATTTAGTGTAGTTCACCCACTGGAAGCCAGAGGAAGCCACCTCTCATTGACCCGCCTCACTTTCTGTCTGACTGCTGAGGAGCGGTGCTGTGCAGTCTGGTAGTTAGCTGTGCGGCTAATTATCTCCAAAACACGTCATGTTTAGCCTCTTCCATCCACTCTGCTGCTCCCAACTCAAAACAATTAACTTCTGTCACCCAGGCACACCAAGAGCTTTGTGTCTGACAAGGCGATTCCTCTGCAGCCAGTCCAGCGTCGTAATCAGAGACGTAGGTGGGTGGACAGATGAACTGGTGGGAAAATGGAGGTTAAAGTAGAGGAGTGATGAAGATTAAATGGCAGTCGGTTTTAGACTCCAAACAGCCGGTCTCCACCTCTCTGTCTCACTTTAATTTTGCGCACTAAATCTCTGTCAGGATCACAGTCGCAGTTCGTGGGCCTAAATTAGCAGCAGCGACATCAAAGGCCGGAGGATGATTAATATTTTTTTGCCTGATGGAGATAGAAGCCCAGATGGGATGAGTAGGTGATCTGTGGGGTAATGGATAGTCATCGGAAATAGACAAGAGGGTCAGTGGAGAAGAGGGAAGGTTATGTGGTTGTCGAGTGTGACATTAATCATGTAGACAGTAATGACTGTGAGTTTTATCTCTTAGCACACGAGGTTTCTCGGCATGAGGACAGTTTGGGTTTTATTTGCTTGAGAAAACAGTGGAAGTGAATAGAATTTTATATTTAAAGCATCGACAAATTAGCTCAGCAGCTCGCTCTTCTTCCTCTGTTCCATTCCTCTCCTATCGCTGCCTGAACCCGCCGTGTCTTCCCCCCCAGAGTCAGAGTCCTGGTTGGAGCCGCTGGAAATCAGCTGGCCTCCGTTGATCTCGGAGGCTGTGAGCCCACTTTAGTTGCGCGCTCCTTGGCAGTATTCCCCGCTGGATCCCCCACTCCCATGCAAGTAGTGTTTACTGGAAGTCCTTCGAGCTCCCAGTCCGGTTACAGACAGCTAATAGGACTGCTAACTAGATAGTACAGTTAGCATAGCAACAGTGCACCGGTAAGAGACTCCCTTACATGAGAAAAGCTCCGTGCTACTTCCCAGCAGTGTTTCGTTTTTCCCCCAGGATAGCGAAGTCATGACCCGCCCTACTCTGACTCTGACAAAGCATCTAACCTGAGACAGGCCACACAGCAGTGATAGCAACCATATAAGCTTTGTAGGCTTGTTAGAATATAATATATATACAGTATAAATCTATTTTTAACACATTTTTTGGATGGTACCCTGTATCTGCAAATACTCATTTCAAAAGTTCAGGTATCGGAATCGGTTTTGGGAAGGAAAAATTGTCGGTCTGCTGCCTGTTGTTGAGCTTTTTTACCTAAACTGCTGCCCGCTGTGGCTAGAAACTAGTTTAATGTTAGTGAACCATAATAGCAAAGTGGCAGGCTGAAAAACCGAAACAATGAGCTGAAAGATGCTAAAAACCTTTTGCCGAAACTGCAGTCTGGTAATAACTCCCAGTAGGTTTTCAAAATATGAGTAAGTGTGCCGATAATCTCAACACCTCAGCACATTAAACATAACAAGCAGCAGTGAGTCACTGTGATGAAGTGATCCATTAAAGAACAGTGGGGATATTTTTCTCCACACTTTCTAAACACTCTTTCTAGGAGTGGAGCAACCGTGCATCAGTAGCTACATGTGTTTGTTAAAGTCTACAGCATTTGGCTTAAAGGCATGGTTTAAAAGCAAACCCGACCTGTAAACAGTGGGCCAGCATCAGTCGGGGTGACAACAACGGTGCTATTATTGATCGTGGCATTTTCATTTGGCAGTCAGCTGTAGAGACCCAGACACATGACCCCTGGACGCTGATCAATAGTCAGTTTAGGGAGGAAACTGTATTTATATAGCACTTCTCAAAACACTAGTTAACATAAAGTGATTTAGAGGACGAAGAAAATTGCAAAGAGGGGGATAAAAGAGACAAAAGACCATGTGTTAAACTAACAGAATTAAGTGCAACTCACATAATAAAAGGTATAAAAAAAAGTTGAAACTTTAGTTTTCAGCTTAAAGTCGCCCTCCACTCAGAAATCAGTTTTCTTTTTGTTCCCACAGGGTGAAGTTTGAATGATGTCTGTGCAGAGTTTGACACTAGAAGGATGTTTTCACATTCATCTGCTGAAAGTGGAAAGTTTCTCTGAGCTCATTGAAAATCTGATTTATTAAGGGGGCGGGGCCTACGAGCATGATTTGTGACATCACAAATAGAAAACCCTGCTGCCAATCCTCGCGTCCCTCCGCTGGTTGCCTGTGAGTTTTAGAATTGATTTTAAGATTTTATTGCTAGTTTTTAAAGCCTTGAATAGTCTGGCTTCTGCATCTGTGATTTACTAACCTCCTATGGGCCTAATCGCTGCTTGAGATCCTCTGGCAGGGGTCTACAAAGAGACCAGGCTTTTGCTGTCCGGGCCCAGTGATCTCAGGCAGGCAAACTCCTCTTCTAAATCTCTTCTAAAGACTCACTGTTATCGTTTGGCTCTTTGTTTTTTTAAACTCAAGGAAATTAATATTCATAGATTCTGGAGGTTTTAATGAGGTACAAGGACCAGATGTCTTATTGGGATTTTAATGTGGAAATTATACTCTATTTTAGTATTTTGAGTAAAAAAAACAAACATATCAGATACACATTATTGTTCCAATTGTATATATATATATATATATTCCTATATATTGTATATAATTTGACTGACTAGTTTTCCAGTCAAGGAAACACCTGGAAACAATCTCTGTTGTGCTGGAAATGTTATATTTAGCCCCTCACTCAGATCGCCTACACAAACCTAAAGTATTACCAGACTTAAAGCGGACTTAGAGGAATCTTTTCAGTGTCATGTTTCAGTGGAAGCTCAGTGGAAATGCTGTGGATGGTCAAATCTACATGCATACAACTTATTAATGATGAAATGTACATTTGTTGTTGTTGTTGACATGCATAGTGATGTTATTTGTATGTGCAACAAACATTTTCACTTTAACTTTCACTTGTAAAAATCGACTGTGAGAGCAGCCAATCATGCGAGCTAATGCAGAGTATCCGATAAACGCTGACCACCTACGGGGGCTAATTATATAACCTTCTGTGAGCAAGTGCTGTCCTGTATTGACAAGACAACTTGTGGAAAATGTCCTGGAAAATGTCCTGGAAAGGTCCTGGAAAATGATTTGATAAAAAAAAAAAACCAGCAGGCCGAGGACAGAAACCCAGATAGCGAGGGTCCTCTGCATCCTGCGTCGTCAGGAATCTCGTTAGAGTTGTCGGGCAGACTCAGCACCATGGAGATGTGAATCACAGCTCAGGCAGGTCAAGGCGAGATTGATTCAGGCAGGAGAGGCAGATGTGGATCTCCATCACGGTACAAAGGCACAGAGATGAGGAGCTCTACAGGCTGTGTGGGGTTTGTGTCGGTGTACTTTGTAGCCAACCGATTTTCATTTTTGAAATGAGAAAATCAAATTTTTACGACAAAATGGGTTGTTTTTGTTTCTAGAACACAAAATAATATGTTTTTCATTTTCCATTTTTATTTTTTAAAATGGGAAAACAGGTAATTGTAATCTGTTTTTTATTGTAAAAAAACTGAAAACGTTTGTTTTTTTGTTTTTTTTCTGATTTTATTTTCAACCAAAATAGCAAATATGTTATTTTTTTATTTTGAACCCCCCCAAAAACTGAACACTGCTTTTTCCCCCTGTTTTTATTGGGGGTTTTTTAAACCAAAAAACAAACAAACAAAAACTGGTTGTTTTTTCCTTTTTCCATTTTCATCTTCAAAACAAAAATCTGTTGGCTGCATTGTACACTGACTGGTTTGCTGTGTGCTGATGTGATCGAGCCTGATCTGAACTCTTTATCGTGGGCAGTTCATGAGTGGTGCATGCTTAGACTGCTGGCAGCGTGAAATAGATGCTGCTGGACAGGACGGTTTGTGGTGAGACACATGTAAAGAGCACAGTGTCTCACAAATATAGACAATAATCTGACAGCTGTACACACCACAGGCTGTCTCACAAAGGACACGCTGCCATCTCTGATGTGACAACAAGCACACCTGTGGTCTAAGTAGGTGCTACACAGGCTCTCGTGTGTGTGTGTGTGTGTGTGTGTGTGTGTGTGTGTGTGTGTGTGTGTGTGTGTGTGTGGTGGTGTGTTTCAGAGCTTGCTGTATAGCTCTGACTTGTCACACACATTGAGGCATGAAGTCCATTACTGTCAGCAGCACACTGAGCTGTAACCTGCCAAACCTTTGTGCCCCCACCGAGCCCCTCGTCTGTGCCGGGTACAGTGAGCCTTTTCTGAGGGCTGAAATGACACCCACACACACCCCCCACACACACACACACTGCAGTTCTATTTCTTGTGGTTGTTTTAATGCGGTTTTGAGATTCAGATCACAAGGCAGCATATTGAATGAAATGAGATTTTGTTCTCGGGGTATGAGGAGGCAAAGAAATACGATAAAGTAAAATAAACATATCTTGATCTAATTAGACTGCACTGTGAGCATTTTTATTTTAAATAAGGTTGTGTTTACGAAATTGTGGTGTATTGATTTCCTCACAGACTAAGTCCGACGTTACCTCATTGAGTTCTGCTCTGAGTGCAGCTCCAGCATGTAAATGAATCACATTGTGTGCTACTTCTAAACAAACTCTGAGTCATTATTAATTCAAAGACATACAGTTTATGACATGTTATCGCTTCATGAGGCACATTAAGGAATTACCGCAGCGTGCTATCACACTGTGAGCCTTCTCTGGTTTTTATTGTGTCTGAATGTCATTCTTAGGCCTATATGTAAAGCACATTGAATTACCTCTGTGTTTGAAATGTGCTGTATAAATAAAGCTGCCTTGCCTTGTCTTTTATGTGTAAAAAAATAGTAAATAAACCCACAGTACTGATGCTCTGAGTTGCAATTAGGGCGTTGACTGATGGCAGGGTTGGTGGTTGAGCCCCGCCTTGTCCTGTCCACATGTGACATGTGGAAGAAACTGAAACCCAAATTATGATGGTTGAATAAACTACCGTCACTGTGTGAATGTGTGAGTGTGACTGTGCTATTTAAATGCAGTACTAAATGCAAGGTACTCAGTTATGGACTACTTTATACATTTAAGAAAAACATGTTGCAGTTTTTATAATAACTCTTTTGACAGTTATAGTCATTAGTTACTTTGCTGATTAAAGGACCAGTGTGTACGGTGCAACCAACTGAATACCGTTCGCATCAACCAAGTGTGTAGGAGAAACTACGGTGGCTGTGAAACTTGATAAAAACATGACAGGTGCTACCAAGAGCCAGTGTTTGGTTTGTCTGTTCTGGGTTACTGTAGAAACATGGCTCTGTGGATACAAACGGTTCATTCTTAGGTAACAAAAACACAACAATTCTTATTTTCATGTGGTGATACACTAATGAAAACATACCGATGAATATTATATTCTATTTCTGCCAATAGATCCTCCTGAATGTTGACCTTTCCAGTGGTTTTAAACATAATGTTTGCTCATCGTGAGGAGCACTACTTGTTGTATGATGTCAAGTCAAGTCCGAATAGCTGAAAATAGCCATCCAGGTTATCTCAACTTGAGCTTGTAGATTTCAAATGTATAACAGATACAGTTCATATGTATGTTTTCATTATTGTATAATCACCTGACAGTAAGAATTACTGTGTTTTGGTTACCGTAGAATGATTTCTTATCTACAGGTGTCTTCTGTCTTCTGTCTTCTGTGAAGGACATGAACCATCATGTTTCTACAGTAGCCCAGAACAGGCAAACCAAACACTGAGTTTCACAGCCACCATAGTTTCTCCTGAACACTTCACAACCCGTTTACATTCCCAGGTTGTAAAATACAGACGCCAGTGGTCCTATACACTGGACCTTTAATGGCAATCCATCCAGTGGTTGTTTAGATTTTTCAGTGGACTGACCGACTAACAAATAATGTACAACTGACGCTAAAGAAGAAGTAGAAACACAATATCATCGGAGAAATGTGCTTACCTAAGATATCTTCCTGTAAGTTAAGCGTGGACCAATCGATGCTCTCCTGTGTCACTTCTTTACAGTATGTAATGGGAATCATACCTGCAGTCGCAGCAGCCTGGCTCGCAGTCACAGGAGACAAACTGCAGGTCTGGTAGGTGTGTAAGAGAGCGAGGCTATGGATTTATTGACTCACAGCAGCAGTGCTTTAATCTCACATCTCCTTCTCATTAGAGAGAACAACACCTGTCAAAGAGAGGTTGATATCCAGCCCCCAGAACACGACCCAACGAAACCTGTGTGCTACTTGAGATAAGGAGCAAAGGTTGTCCGCCTCACTTGGTGCTTGTTTGCTCATCAATTTCAACTCTACTGTGAGATGAACTGTCTCCTTCATAAAGCAATTGTAAGCAAATCTCCTACTGGAGGCCCAATACTTTATTAAAAGGAGGAGGACTCGCTCCAGACACGAGGCGTGTTCACAGAACTGTTCCCTTTTCATCTTGTGATACACATCCTCGTACTCTGAATCTGAAAGCCTTCATGACTCATCGTCTGCAGCAAGGAAGACGCAGCGTACGCTTTGGATTTTTAGTGTTACATAAAAGACGTGAACATAAACACACATGTACATGAGTGATAGGATGACAAAAACAGCCTCGGACGATTGGCTTTGTGTGCCTGTGCAGCTCAGTGTTGTGTGAGGGAGGTAACGTGCAGACGCTGACTCCTCCTAACCAGTCTGCACCCTGCAGCTCAGAGTCTGTCACTGTTTTGAGACAGAGACAAATTAATTTCATCAGCATTGCTTGTGTGTGAGCTCCACCTGGTGGCGGGGGTTTGTAACGACAAGCTGTGACCCTTCATTGGCCCCTGCAGAAAACAGAGTGTCTCTCACAAGCAGGTTTTTTTTAAAGACTTTCCAAATTTGACTCCCTTTTATCTCTCAACAATGTTGGCGCTGTACTCTTGCCTTTTTTCTTTTTTTTTTTTTTTTTTTTACTTTTGTAGTGTTTTAAATTTAGCAGACAACAAGAGATGCAGTAAAAACGTTACAGACACTGTTATTCCTTTAGTAAATCCAGAAGAAGAATGTAAGAAAAAAATGCATTAATTAGTAAAAAAAAAACCAATTTCATTAAGTATTTTTCACCGTTGTCTTTCTCTATTTTCTTTTTCTCTTTCTCGTGTAGAGTGAAAGTCACTATATAAGTACAGTCCATTTATTTCTATTTGTGTTTTTACATTAACAGATTATGGTGAGTACACATCGGGGGTTACAGTTAATTATTACCTTCCTAAATAATGTAGTCAGTAACCTAATCCACAAAATTAAAGTAACGTAAAATATGACTTTCCATGTGACTTTTGGATCAACTCAACACCAAATATGTAAATAAAGACAAGAGAAAAAAAATATCGGTAGGATGTATTCTATAAGACAACAGAACAGTATAAAGAAAATGGAAGAGACTTGCTCTGTAATGTGACGTTGTTCCATTTTCTGCTTCCACTGAGGCCATGATAACGGGCCGGCAGCTGAACGATTAGCTGTGGTTTCACTGAGAACAGAGTGCTGGTGTGAGGCTCCCCATTTTTACTAAATGTTAATGTAAATGTTTTCCCTGTATGTAATGGATTAGGAAGCCTGGTACACACAGATGTCGGACAGTTTGGAGGTGGGAGCGTATTTCTCTTATCTTGGCTTCTCTCTATTGGTTTCCAGCAGAGTTCAGGATGGATTTTAAGATGCTGTTGATTACTTTCAGGACTCCCTGCAAGCTTTCACCTGGTTATCTTACTGAGCTTTTAACCCCCTATGAGTCTGAGTGCAATCAATGTCAACCTTTCTAAAATCCTTTAAAAACTGCGCCTTTGTTTTATGACTTTGTTTTTATTTATTTACATGAAGCACTTTCATTTTCTTTTGATAAATTCTGCATAGTAAAGGGCAGTGGCAAGCTAGTGACCGGAAGGACGTGGGTTCAATCCCCTGGACCGGCTTCCAAGTGTGTAACTATGTGAAGGGCGTTCGTGGAGAAGAGAGCTTTGCACTCAGCGAGCCACCCCTGAATAATAAAGATTAAACAAAAACAAATAAACGATTCAAGCTGGTTTACACAATAAATAATGGTGGAACTTTAAAATAATTAGAATTAAGAATGTAATGTCAATGTAGGAGATTTGTTAGTAATAATAATAATGATTATTATTGTTGTTATTGCACAATTCATTAAATATGCTTCAGGATATAAAAAAAATGATAATAAAAAGAATAAAATAAATAAAAATATAGCTGTTTTTTTCCTGCAAACAGATAAAAATAAAAATAAAAGGTCATTATAAAACGTTATTTCTGTATGTAAATGTATTTCTGCAGCTCTCTGTCACTATTTTGGTGTCATTTGTAGTTTTTAACCTCAGATCGTCCTGAAGATTTAAAATCCCTCTAAAATCTGAATCTCCCAGCGCTTCAACCTGATTGGCTGCCACCGCGGGGCTAACACGCAACCGCGGGCCAGGATTGGCTGAATCTGTGAGCTGCGTCAGTGTAGACAATAACACCGGAAGCTGAGTGAGATTTCAAAATAAAGCAAAGGAGCAAAAAACAAAACAAAACAAAACAAACAAAACTTATTGGTTTGTACACAAGAAGTCACAAATAGCCTGCCCAGAGAAGATTATAGAGTTTTCAAGATAAGATAAACCAATATATATTTTATTGACAATAAACTGAAGTACTACACGTTCTAATTATTTAAATTGTGCTTTTATTGCAAAGTACATTTTATGTTGTATTTTTAAAAGTGGAGATAAAAATGTTGAATTTGTGATTAATTTTGGTGTAAAAAAAATAAGTTATATAAGTTTTAAGTTACTTACTTATACGAATACTCATTACTAATGAATTAATATCCACAAAATGTCTCACAAAGTCAGTGGCTGTATAAAGTTCTCCGTGGTGTTTAATCTTACCTTGTAACAGTTCAGTTTGTTACTGCTTTGCAACTCTGCTCAGTTTCTGCTGTTAGTCAACCAAATTCTTTCTTCTTTCAACCTATAACACATCACAACACGAGTCCCCAGAGCAGCAACCAGGTTTATGCTCCTTCCAGTTTAAAAGAATGAATCTTTTAATGGATAACCTCTTGCACAACACTAACGGAGAGAACAACATCATGAGCTCGCTGACCTTCTGTCTGTGCCAAACTGAGGTTTTATGTATGAAATAAAAAAATGAATAATAGTAATTATATATGCTGAATATGAATATGATATATATTATTATTTCTATTATTTCTAGTCGCATGTTTGCAAGAAAGTTGCTAAAAACTAAATTTTTCAACCTTTGTGGACAAAAAAAGACTAAAATTTATTCTCTTTTACTGATTTATGACTTCTCATAAAAGATATTTGTATCAGCTGCCATGCATTAACACATATGCAGACAGTTAAACACATTGTGGACGAGTGAATTAGAAATGTACAATGCATTTCTGCTTCAATATGGACTACTATAGGGACAGTCTCCAGTCCTCTTACAGCTTGTTTGCGGGTCTTTAAACGCGCGCTCAGTGTGGTTTTATTTTGTAAGACGTGACCGGAAGTGTGTCCCTCATTATGGTTAACTTGTGAGTAGTGGCCAGAGCTGCAACCCAGTTGAACCCCCCCTCACCAGCACCACCTCCACCAGAGCAGAGGGCGAGAGGGTCCCTGCAGTCCACACACCGCAAACATGGCAGGCTTTGGAGGCGACGTGATGCGTTCATGGTCCGGCTCCGGCTCTGCCACCGACTCCCCGTTAACCGCGTCGGTTCCCGGCGGGGAGCAGCAGCAGAAACCGAGGAAGAGGAGCAGAGCTTTCTGCCTGGCCAGGATGAAGTCCCGCAGCGGCTCCGGCGGACAGCAGCAGCGTCCGCCCGCCGCCAACAACAACAACAACGTGCCGTTCATGATCCACTGCCACATCGGGAAGGAGATCAAACACATCTGCAGCAACTGCCGGGGAGCCGAGCAGCTGGACGGTGAGGGGACCCGGTTCAGGGTTACTGCTGCAGGGGGGGCAGGGTGGAGGAGGAAGAGGAGGAAGAGGAGGAGGTTTAAATGATTACTGTCATCTGTTGGTGACCGCTCCCTGCCTGCCGGGGGCCAATCTGCGCTACAGCAGCTCTCAGATCAGCTCTTAATGCTCCTTAAATTCACTGTTTTTACTGTAGTGACCTTTAAAAGCACTGGTTCCAAACCTCTTTACCTTAAGGGGGGTAAAACTGACTGTATTTTATGGATATTTCATATTATATTCATTAATAATAACAGAGAACAGCTGATAAACTAACAGTGAACACAATATCTGCAGGAGATTTGTGTAAAACGAGTGATTTGGATATTTTTAATCACTTTTTATACAATTCTCTTTCTGTATTATGTATTTTTTTTATTATTTTGCTAAAAGTCTCTTAGCTCTTTGCTTGTTTTAACTTTTCTAAAGCAGTTTAGATCTTAAATAATAATCTAATCTTTAAAAATAGCAATTTAATTACATTATCTTGACAGAAATAAAAGAGGAAAGCTAAGATATAGGCCTCTTGTGTATATGTTTTACGTTTTCTTTCACCCTTTAAAGTGAAGAAAGCCTCACGACCCGCTCTGTTTTTTCTCCACTGTTTGTGATTTAGTTGAGATAAAGTGGAGTTATTGATGATGAGGTTGTGTGTGTTGGTGGTTTAGTTTTGGTTCTTTGATCCACTTAAATTAATTGACAAATCAGTTTCCAGTATTCATTTCTGATCACAGATCATTTAAACTGTGTAGTGTTTAATTAAGTTCATATTTCAGAGCCACATATCAGAGGAGTTACAGCGTATTCCCCCCAAAAAATCCATAAAAAACATCCTGTCAATTTTAATGACTTAATTGATCAAAACCTTAATTGGAGCTACAACTAATGATTCCTTTTTATTGTCCTCATTAATCACTCACTGTTTTTAAATCATTATCATAAAATTGCCTTGGACGAGCCCTGAGGTGACAGCTGTGTCCAACAGTCCAAAACCCAAATCTAATATTCAATCTTCACATTTGAGAAGCTGCAATAGAGAATTTTTGTAGAAAAATGACTCAAACTCGCCTAAAATTGCTTCCGATTAGTTTTCTGTCAGTTGAATAATCACTTTAAGGGCTCATTGATTTGTCACAGCACAGCTGCTCTGACTAGAAGGTCAATTAATAAACGAGTTGATTTACTTTGAAAATCTCCCTCCAGTGTTATTGTCTGTTTTCAGATCAATACGTTCAGAAGATTGGGTCAAATGTACTTTTTAGAGACACACAGGTATGATTCTGAGCCACAGATGTGACCATTGTCTGAATACTACCGACTGATTTAAACGTCTTAATCGACCTAAGACCTTAACTGGAGCTGCAACTTATTTTTATTAGCGATTAATGATCTATTATTATTATTATTATTATTAATTGTCTATTAAATGTCAGAAAACTGTGAAAATGTGTCATCTGCAGGTGGAGTCTCTTTAAATTGCTTATTTTGTCTGAACATCCGCCCAAAACCCAAAGATTGAAAAAAAAACATTGATATAAAAAAGGAAAAAGCAAATCTTAACATTTGAGAACCTGAAACTCGCAAATTTATTTTAGCTTGATATATAATTTGAATACAGTTGTCTTTAGCTAATCAGTGAATTGTCTGCATTGTTTTATAGTAGGGTTAATATAACAGTTTATACAATATATATTTACTGGAGGGTCTTTGCTCCGTCTCTTTATCAGCTACAGGGGGTCCTGGTCTGAAAAACATCAAAGACCCCCCTCTTAAGGTGTATTTGCCGCATTTATTTGATTAATAGGCAAGTTAATTTATTAGCAGATCAGTCAAACTGCTTCCAGTGTGACTTCCCCACCACAGATCAATACCGACCGACAGACCGATGACCCGTCAACCCAGAACAGACTTCTGAAGCAGAGATCATTTACAGTATTGATTAATCGTTCCCCATAAAAAGACCATAAAAACCAACAAATCTAAAAACCTGAATGGACCCAGAACCTGGAAGAGTCAGCTGATGGGGGGGGGGCTGTGACCCCTGGCAGTGGCGGCAGAAGCCTCTCTTGTTTGTCTGCTTTGAGTTGTTGTGGAGCTTGTTGTTGAGTGAGTCAGTGTAAGTAAACAGACCCGGGGTCTGAGAGGAAGAATGTGGCCCTGCAGTGTGAGTCTGAGGCCTCTGACTCACCGCTGGGGGGGGGGATGGACAACACCAGCAGCGACCGGATACCTATGTTCTGTTTACGGGAGCAAAGATGAGTCAAACTGTGACGAAATTCCTTAAAACATAAAAACGCTGCATCTCCTCGCCCCACAGGACAGCTGATCCACTCATGCAGCATAATTCAAATGTTTTATGGGCAAATAACGACTTAAAATCACAAATACGTTCTTTATTTTTGGTCATATTGATGATTTTGTAGTTTTTCTTTGCTTTGAAACTGTTCCTCCATTTGTCCGGGGACGGTTTTCCGTGAGCGCTGTCACATCCACAGAACAACCCCGGGCTCAAACTGTCGTCCGCTGAGCAGATCTGCCACAGGGCCAGCCGAGGAGGGGAGCAGGAGAGGGTTTGGGGTGGGGGGGTTGGCTGTTGTTGTTGAAGGGCCTCTCGATGGGAGCTGGCTGCTGAGCTGGTACAGATTTGATCTGACATCCCTCTTGTAACAACGCCACACAACAAGGCTGACATCTCCTCCTGTCTGCAGCTGCTTCCCATTTATCTGTTTGTGCCACTGACGTCAGGTTTTACTTGTGGTCATCGCTTCCTCTGCAGTTGCTGGTTCATCCCAGCTAATGAGAAAAACAAAAAATGGTTTAAGTCCGGGACTTTCTGATCAAAGAAGGAAGCAAACAAGATCAGGAATCTGACTATTTAATGCCAACTGTTGATACTTAGAGCCAGGGCTGTTCATAAAGGGGGGAAAGCTTTCAGAGGCACATGAAGGCCAGCAATAATAATATTTATCCTAAATATAAGCAACCAGATTTGATTTTGAACTAGGGCTGCACATTTAATGACCGTACTATCTAAATCACAATGGCCAAGTGCAAGTACAGACTGAAAAGGAAAATGTAGATGCAAAAATAATTGCAGTAATATTTCATTTACCATGTTGTGCAGCCCCATTTTGAACAAAAAGACTCACCAATACTTATTAAAACAACAAAAATACATTTTATTTGTTGTTGCTTCAGTAAAATGTAGCCGGAATCATAATGATAACTCCGCCCCCATGTACTGACTCGAAACCGACTACTAGTTAATGTTGGAGAGAATTTCCTTGCTATGCCAGGACATGCACATAAATTGCACATACGGTAATAAACCCACAGTAGCCCCAACATATTGGTGTGAACGCAGCCATAGAGTTTCCATTGTATTGTGCACGAGTCAGGCTGCGTTCTTTATGGACATTGTGGTTAGAATATTCTCTGCTTGTTGACTTTTCTCTCACATGAAAGTAGGCAACTCTGATCTGCTCGCACATATTTCCCACGTTTTCTATCCCTCTGAAGTATATCTGTGTAAATATGTGTATCAGTGTGTTTACATCCACTACCGCCTGCTAAAGTGTTGGTTTCCTTTTTGTTTTATTCATCGCCTCTGGCTCAGGCCTCATGCCCTCGCTCCACAGAGCCTGTCTCATACTGCAGGATGTTGTGTGTAATGGGAAAAGGTGTAATTTGAAATGAAAAACTGGCGCTCTGCTGTATAGAAACAGCCTCCAGCATTATTGCATGCAAACAGCTCCTCGTACAGAGTCAGTGAATGGGAAGTGGAGGAGGGAGCGACTGTGATCACTGTGATTGTGATGTTTGTGTTTGTTGTGGATATTCTCTGCAGCGCCTCTTGTTTACAGTCTGTTTATGCTCTCTGTTCCCATCCATGTTAAATTCCTCTCCCCTCCTGAGGTCTTTCTTTAAATCTCTCTGGGAATCCCCCCCCCCCCGTCTAACTGTGATTAACTGCAATCCAAATGAGTTTTTCCTGACTTGATTATACAGCGCCCCCCTTGGGGGTTGCATCCCCTCACATTTCAATCCCAGACAAGTGATCATTTGTTATCCATTTGATTTTTCTGAGTACTTCCGTCATTTATGGTGAAATTTACAGCGGCTAGATGGATTTTATGTGACAGATGAGGGGGGGCAGCTACAGATTATTTTCATTATTGATTAAAGGTCCTTCACTGATAGTCACAATTACTTTATCATAGCAGTGTTGTACCCTGTTTCTATTGCATCTGCATCCATTTTAGTTCTGGTATGGGTAAAAGAAACCTCACCATTAAACAAGTCAGAAACATATTTTTGTAGGTGTTGTGTACTTGCTGTTTAATGACTTTGTTGTTGTTGTTTTCCAGCTGAGGAAGTGGAGAGGTTGGCAGCGATGCGCTCTGATTCGCTGGTTCCAGGCACTCACACGCCTCCCATTCGGCGGCGGAGCAAGTTCGCCACCCTGGGACGTCTGTTTAAACCCTGGAAGTGGAGGAAGAAGAAGAGTGAAAAGTTCAAGCAAACCTCTGCCGGTGAGAACCAAAAGCACTGTAAACACCCCACCCCTCCCTCCCCATGGTACTCTGCTTCACTCACATCTCAGCAGAAGATAAATGTCTCCCCGTTGCACCTAGCAACGGTAGCATTGATGAATGGCGGCTCAGAGGGGACTGTGCTGCAGACCAGGGGGTGATATAGAGGCTGTATGATTATGGTTATGTAAGGCCGGTAAAGCACCAGGTGGCAGCGGGTCAAATGCTCCTGCTGCTGCTTCATCAACCAGACCATCAGCACTGATGAGCCTGGCTCCTACTGGGCGGTCTGGCTGTTGGCGGTGTCTTATGTAGTCTAATACCTGAATCTTAGGCTTAATTTAGTCTTTAAATGCTTTTTTTTAACCAATATTTTATTTAAATTTAAGATTTACAGTCTCCTTCTACCCACCACTACATATAAATACCTTCCTACAAGTAAACATACCACAAACTGGAGAAATAAAGTAAATGTCTTCAAATAGACAGTCTTAAAAATAAAGGCCCATAATATAATAAAAAGCCCAAGAAATATCTTTAGAAATCGATCGGATTAATGAAGTTAACGTCACTTGCATTAAGTTGCATTTTTCGGTTTTGCTTTGAAATATATTTTTAGGAAAAATTAGTGTTGCTCAACTACAAAACGAAACCGATATGGAACCAGTACCGATTTCCTTCATATCCTTTTGTACTTTTTTTCCAGTATGGACGTGAAATAGGTCTTAGGGACCGGCTGAAACCTTATTCGATGCCTTCACAGAGAAGTTAAAAATAGAATCAGATAAAAAAAGATTCTCTCTCAGTAAGGAATTAACTAAACAATGACTTGAACAATTTATATCAATGTAAAAATACAAGAGGCATATTCACAGAATACCATTGAATAATAAAGACAGAATAAGACCACGGTAGTTAAAATAACATTCAAAATAGGAAAGGAAAGGAAGAAACTAGAGTCTGTGGAAAAATTGAGCTAATTGGAAGGCTTAATTTATACAATTTACATCTATTATACTCGGTTCAGACATTGTGGCTGAAAGCTGTTAATTACAGTAATTATCTGAGATGCAAACACAGCAGCTGTGGAAGACTTGATTATGAATGTTAACTGCAGCAACAAATGAGCTTTAAATGGTGATTGTCAGTGCGCCACGGCGTCGTCTGCGCCATGTTAGCCCCACTACCCGAGGACACGTGGATGCTGGTGCATATGTCTGCTTCTCCGCTACAATATGCACCCAGTAGTAAGCTGTGAAGTGGAGGAAAGCGACTGATTCGGGCGGAGGAATGGAAGCTGTTGTTGTTTCTCAGCTGGGTGAATCTTTTCTACATCCTGTTCTCACTGAGAGACACAAACACGCAGCGAAGGGGGGGTGCAGAGAGGCTTCCTACAGCCAAGCTGTTCCCCCAGCTGTCACAGCGGGTGACTGAAACCTGCTCCCTTTCTCCGTATGAAAATCAAACACTATATACGTTTTACAGCACACGTGCACACAGGTAGAGCCGTGTTGTGAGCGCCATGTGTTACTGCTGGGCTCCTGCCATCACTCAGTCCAAGTGCATTAAATGATGTGTGCATTCATAGAGAAAAATTAATGTATGTTTTTGTGGGGGTGGGGGGAGGGTATGTAAGGTTCAAAAATATCTGAAAATTAGCTGTCCTGGAAAATCTGGAAAACCTGAAACTCTAGAGACTAGTTTACCTGGAATATCCTGGATATCCTGGATGTTGTCCTGGAAAATTTTAGTTGTATTTTGCGTGTGCTGTGGCCAAATTAACGTTACAGTTAGAAGAAAACTGGACTCACTTTTTCACAGCAGCCTTTTTGACATGACATAGTGATATAGGGTAAACACAGGTGTTTAATTACCCAATGATAATTAAGGCTACGTTCCTTCAGGTCAGACAGAGTATGGATGTGGAAATGCTCTGCTATACTAAACGGAGCCTTTGTTAGTATCATTGGTAACACCTGTGTTCACCCTGCTGGCTGCTGTGAAAAAGGTTTATTCAGAGAGCGGAAAATCGACGGTGGTGAGAACAGCCGTATGCAAGTTTGAGCAAGTGCTGTCCTGTGTTGTCAAGAAAATGTCCTGGGAAATGATTTCTTAAAGAGTGGGAACGCTGTTCTGTGCATTCTGTAAGTTTTACAACCAAAAAACGCCAAGAGAAATAATAAGTAAATGCCGTAAAACGTCAACTAATAGCCCAGGCTTTTATTCGCTTCAATCACTGAACCCAAACAACCTTTATTTGGAGCAGGCCTCTATATGAGACAGTCCTTTAATTACTTTTGCACAAAACTTTTGCTCAGCACAGAACTTGTTTATTCAAACCAGTATGACTATTCTTTAGAAATTAGGCCATTGAATAAGTAACTTGGTGAGCTTTAAGGAGGGTTTACGCATCCAGAGACTGTCTATAAAATAAAGCCTCTAATTGAGACCTGTGTTTATTTGTCAAAGCGTGTACCCACACCAGGCTAGTAACTGAGCTGAACTGAACACATTCCCCTTTATTTTATATGATCATGAAATAAAATCACGTATATTGCTTACGCACAGAGAATATAGCACATCTGAGGCAGATGAGTATGACTTCATGTTGACAACCTGTCTGTACTATCACTGCCCTGAGGACAACCTTCGGTCTTATTGGGCCATAAAATATAAAAATGCTTTGCAGGGCAGGTTAGTTGTGGTTGTTTATGTGCTGACCTGCCATTTCTTCCCTGCTTTAAGTCTCCCACAATTTTTCTCCCACAATGATTCATATTGTTTTCTCACCTTTTGCTCTAACCTCTGGTCTTTTTCTAATTGGCTGATTGTTATCATCCGCTGTTATGCCGTGGATAATATTCACACGTCCTGCATCCAACAAGTTTTAATGAAAAGTACTCCAGGCGCAGTAATGTTAATGAGCGGATAATTTCTTTTAGATAACTGTTGGAATTGAATGTAATTAGCAGGCATAATACTTAAAGGCTGGGGAATGAAAACTTGACTAGAACCGCGGCTGAACATTTCACTACAGAGAACTAAGGGATAAATATGAATAATGAAGGAACATTGATGAAAGTGGGCAGATATTAAAATGGAACTGGTGAGAAAACTGAAACAAATCATGTCCAACTTACAAGATACAAGTTACAGTTAAAAAGCAAAAACATGTTTGAAATGTGGCTTCAGTAATTTAATACAATGAAATGAGGTGTGTGTATAAAACTCCTTATCAGTCATCACACTGTACAGTTCATGTGTTTGAGTATTACTGGGTAGCAACAGCGATGGAGGCAGCAGTCTAAACAGATGTCTGCTGCAGCCGACGCATTCCTCAGCACTAATAAACGCTCCAAGTATCCACAAGTTGTTCATTTGATGCCATGTCTCCTCTGCCCCCCCCCCCAGTGCTGGAGAGGAAAATGTCCACTCGCCAGAGCAGAGAAGAGCTCATCAAGAAGGGAGTGCTGAAGGAGGTTTATGAAAAAGGTGAGAAAACAAAAGTGATCAATACAATCTGACATGTGCTGAAACGAGCAGGTGATCAATCAGTTGACCTGATATTGTCCTTTTCAGCAAGTAAAAATGTTAAAGGTAGCAAAAACGATATTCAGAGTCTGTCAGTTCAGGTTTTTTTGTTTCCAAGAGAAGATTTGTAGTATATTTTTTGAAAAAAATGATATCTTTACTGAGGATTTAAAAAAGATTGGTACTTAACAATCAACAGAGAAAAAGTCAGCTTTTAGGGCTTTCCCATAAGCGCTTACGTCTAGGCAGAGTGAAACGGTGCCATGCTGAAGTGCGCCTGGACGCCTCCAAGCAGTGATGTTTATCCGACCGCGGCCAACCCGTGACGCCCTGCTCTCTCTGCCTCTCAAGCTGCAGTTACATGCACACATTTGTTCCTTCTGATTGAAGGTTTTTGGGTCTTTTTATATCTGGTGTGATCTAGTTTTGGTCTGGTGTTGACATTCGCCGACGCATTTGATCAGGAGAGCTGTGTGCCGTGCACAAAAGTGAGGAATACATTGTGCATTTAGTCTTCCTCAGCAGCTACCCTTCAGCACCAACCCGGTTTCATTCATTATGACTTGTTTAGTAATTTCGTGTTGTCCTTCTGTCAAGATGTCCAATAAGAGCTCTTTAAGAGTTTCTCCGTGTTTATATGGAACATTTTTATTCTGTTTGGCTTTTTAAAACTGATTGTAATCAGAATCCTGGGCTCCATGTGGACATAACTAATGAAAGCAGCTGATATTTGAGAATCTGGAAACAGCTTTTTGCGTGATTATTTGCTTTATTGATTAATTGATTACAAACACTGTTGGTGGTTGATTTTCTTGTAATTTGCTTCAACACTTCTTGCAGCCCTGAATTGTCTTCCATTTACCTCTTTTCAACCCTCTTCCCCCTGTTCATCCTTTCCTGTCCGTATAGACGGCGCCTCCCCAGCTTTACGAGAGGAGGTGAAGATGGAGAACGGGCGCTCTCCGGTGCTCGGCTCCGGCCTGTCAGACTCTGAAGGTACTGAGCTGATGGAAGGAGCAGCTGCAGCTGTAGGTAGGCAGCAGAGCCTCGCCACCCTTGTTCACCTCATCTCCCAGCTCGTATCGTAGCGTCTGACTGTTTTCTTTCTCTGTGCCCTCTCCTCCTCAGGCTCTCTGGAGTTTCAGATGCCTAGTGAGGGCGCGTTTCAGCAGGACCACGCCCAGAAGTCCAGCCAGGCTCCGCCCACAAAGAAGTCCAGTATGTATCTGGCTGAAAGCGCTGAATCTACGCTCTCCAGACCTCCTACGCTACACAAACAACCTCCTGCGCTACCACCTAAACCCTTCAACAGGCTACCTAATCACATGACAGGTAAGTTTGTCTTTGCTCATATTTAAGTCTGTGGCTCTGTTTATGAACGTCACACCCTCTCAAACATCCTCCCCCCTCTGTGCAGACGGTGCCCCGGTGAAGTTGCCGTGTATGTCGGTGAAGTTATCTCCTCCTCTACCTCCAAAAAAGCTCATGATCTCCGTACCTGCAGGGAGCATGGAGCCCTCTTCGCTCGCCTTCCAGAAGTGCCCCGCACCTCCCAGCCATGCTCCAATGGGCGGGCACTCCCTGCAGTATGGGGCGCTGCCCGTTTCCCTCCACCCCCCCAGCAGAATCATAGAGGAACTCAATAAGACGCTGGCCCTCACCATGCAGCGGTTCGAGAGGTGAGGATCCAACTGTCGGAGTCGCTGTGGAAGTTCTGATGCAGAGATCCGAACCAAGAGTGCTCCACTCGGCTTATCATATTTCACATAATCGAGAACCGGTTGTCCGATCTGTCGGAATCGTATTCCTCTGAGCTTATTGATTCCTTTTACTGATGCTGGTCTGTTTTTATGACAGTTTGTTTGTGTGTACACTGCTGGAAACCTGCAGTAAGAAGGGGTCAGGGCGTAGAGCAATGGTTCTCAAACTGTGGGGTGTGAAGAGTTTGCTGATGCTATTTCGTTTATTCAGACGTTTATTTCACTAAAATTCCATCCTTTATTAGTTGCTTACTCTATCACCTATTGAGAACCAATGGTGCAGAGCAAGAAATGTGTAAAACGTGGCATCTTTTCAGGAATGAAGAGGACAACAATTGTTCCAATTTCCACCTGTGTGTTTAACTCCAGTAAGAGTTGTAAAAAGAAAAAGGAACAATGGGAGTTGTGGTAGTTGTAATGTCAACTTATAATTTAAAACATCAGTCATGTGTTTGACATTTTACACACATTTGCCGCTGCTTCACAGTCAAGCAGCAGGTGCGTTACTGGGGTTAAATATCCGATCTTATAATAAAATTAGTCTCAGCTTTGACCAAGAAAACTAAAACCAATGCTTTACAAATATTCTCTAATTTCATTTTAGATGATGACTGTTGCTACAGCCTCTGCTCGGTTTCTACACTGCGTTCAGACTCAGATAATAAAATATAGGCCTTTAAGTAAGTTATCTCCAAATATGACATTTACAAAACTATATATACATTCAGGTTTCTGCTGAAATGACTGCAGGTGGATGGAAAACTCCCACTGCTCTCTTATTAACGGAGGCACACTGGTCACACCGCCTCTCCTCCAGCAGCTCACACCTCCACATCCATCAGTGTGATTGGTTTCCTGTCTGCAGGTTCATTTGACTCTGCTCTAGGCGGCTGTTGTTGGCCATATAAAGCTTACTGATGTGCTGTTTGGGTGTGTACCAGTTTATTTTTTACAAATCGCTCCTTAATTTTACACCGTTTTAATTCCAACTGCGGGCTTTTCTTTCCAATGGTTTGTTTTTAGAGTTTAAGGTCAGTGATAGACGACCAAACAAATGATTCCAGGGTCTCATCGGTCACAGCCATGTTGGTGGACTTTTCACACGTATTCCCACTCTAGATCATGCACATGCAGCAGCTCTCCTGTTATTTCACAACCTCATGCAACGTTGAGCACACACCTCCGCTCTGACCTTTGCCCTTTTTCCCACCGCCCCGCAGCTCCATGATGCACGCTGTTCCCACGGTGATGATTGAGTGTGACGACGACAAAGAGAACCTCCCCAACGAGGCGGACTACGAGGACCTGCCCGGTATGTACAAGGACGAGGACGACGAGGAGGAAGAGGAGGAGGAAGAAGAAGACGATGAGGAGGAGGACGACGACGACGACGAGGAGGAAGATGAGGATGATACATTGTTTACAAGTAGGTGTTTTGCATTCTCTCTGTGGTGTTTCTCTTTCCACCTGCTTCTTTGATCAGAAGTGGCTTTCCAGTGTTAATTTGTATCCTGTAACTGCCAGCTGTTGTAATCCGTCCTAATATATGTGCATATGTGTGCACATGAATTACGTTGTGTTTCCGTATGGTTGCACAAGCACAGACGTCTCACATGGCTGGAAGCTCTCCGAGCTGCAGTTTATCAGTGATGTGAATTATTTATCACAGGAGCATGTATGTAGTTTATTCAGCGTATTTAAATAATGTACACACAATACATAATACATAAAGGAAAGGAGAAAAGGGTGTGTGCCTTAAGAGCAATAACCCAAGACAGGATTATAAAGACATCTCACCAAACAGAAAGGGTCAAACTATAGGACAAAAGACAAATCTAAGCTGCAATTATTGATTTCATGTGGCCACTAGGGGGCAGACAGACATATTATCACCTTGTACAAATATTATGGCTAACATGCTCGCTTGGCTTCCACCAGCGAGCAGTGTTACAATGAGTTTATCAAAGCTTGTACAGCTGCCTGCTCCTGCTTCAAACTCTGAACCAGACCGGAAATGTGCTATAAAACTAAAATAATGAGCTAAGAGAGGCTAAAAAGCACCGTCACTGGTTCGTCACTGCCAACAGCTCCCTTAACATTACAACATTCATTGTTACTGATCAGAAGGTTGGCGGTTCGATCCCCAAACGGCTCCTGATGCTGTGCTGTCGGTGTGTGAGAATGGGTGAATGTGACCAGTACATTATTTACATCATATTACTAGGAATCTAACAATATATCACGAGACAGTTGCATCACAAATATACGTGAAGATTGAAATTGGTGTGAGGAAAAATTAATCGTGATTTTACTTTTGATTGTCGTCCTACGGCAGTCGGATCAATAGCTGTATCAAGGCACAGAGACATCAGTTTCATTTTCACAAATTTATGTTTTGCTCAGTTTATACTCTACCTCAGATAATTTGATGAAGAAGAAGAAAAAGAAAATACATTTATTTTTGTCTGAGAAATAAAAGAATCTTTGTCAGTCATTATTTATCTTCAGTGTCATTTTATTAAAAAGAATCACATCATGAACCCAGTATTGTGAGTCGTTACATCCCTACATATTACACTTTTATGAGAGCTTCAGGAAAAACGAGCACTTACAAGAGTTGGACAACTGTTTAGGTCATTATCTGGAATCTAAACTGGTCACAAGACGGAGATTAGATATATCTGTTTCTACCTGGAAGCCTTGAAGAAAACCCTGAAATAAAAAGAATTAAAAAAAAAAATAAGCGCAGCAGTGATAAATAACCACCAGAATTATGTGAGGTACTGGAAGAAAATGTATCCAGGCTCCTTACAGTCAGCGTGGAAGGTGAGAGTTCACTACAGGCCGGATACAAAGCTCACAGCGTGTTACAGCGTGTGTTAATACAATGACATCCACTTTGCCTCTTGTATGATCGAAGGCACACTGGCCATGAAGGTTTTACGAAAGGACTCTCTGGCCATCAAGCTGAGTAACCGTCCATCGAAGAGGGAGCTGGAGGAGAAGAACATCCTGCCGCTGCAGTCGGACCAAGAGCGACTCGAGTCCCGACAACAAACAGCCACCAAACTGACCAGGTATCACACACACACACACACACACACACACACCCACATGCACAGGCACACACATTGCTCCGCATGCAGACCCAGTCACCTGCAAAGTGCCTGAACCCACGTTAGCTGGGATAGATGCGACCTGGCTGCTGAAGGGAGCAGATGATGGATGATGAGTCATAACGGAGGGAGGAAGATTAAAGCCGAGGAGCAGCTGGACATGAGGAAAATAGAAAGTGGAGTACAGTGTGTAGAAGAGCGGAAAGCGCAGGGAGCATGTGCAGATACAGCAGTGTTTCCCACAATAATCATTTAACGTTATCTCTAAACATTCCTAATGCAGAAAGATTCAAAGTTAAAACGACCTAAAACATTTATTTATGTCATAAAACATCTTTTTTTGATTCAACAACGTATCGTCTCAGACACATATTAAAGACATCATTCTTAAAACCTTCATTTTTAACCATTATCAGGGTTCCCAGACTCACAGCAATCCTTTCAGCATCGTAATGAACCTGAGACACTTCATCATTAAAAAAAGGAGGAATAAGACTGGAGTTTATGTCAATACTAGGTCTGCCCGTAAATTATATTTAACATTAATCCAGATTACAGAGATACACCTTATCCAGAAACAGCCGTAATATCACTATCGCTCTCCACCAGACTCCATAGACAAAAACAGTCATTTTACCTTTAGATCATTGTAATTTGATTCAAACAAAACTCTTTCCACTGTTTTAACAATCACCAACTCTGCTCTGGTCAGAATAAATCCATCATCCTCCCAACCGTATATTAAACGCTGCACGGCCTCAGAGCCCCAGCCTGTAAATTCACTCAATAGATTACTGGTAGTCAGCAAGTCAGCCCGGATGAGATTATGCATTAATCAGGTACAATTACGATGATCTAGAAATAAATTTAAAAAAAACACACACGATAAAAATTGATTTCCTGAAATAGACGTGTCACTGTTTTTCAGACGGCTGAGTCAGCGGCCGACGGCGGAGGAGCTGGAACAGAGGAACATACTCAAACGTAAGTAACGCTGCGTAAAGTTGCGAGAGTGACGATGGATATTTCTTTCTTCTGTGTGTGATTTATGTTCTCGTTCTCCTTCCTGCCAGCTCGAAACGATCTGGAGGAGCAGGAGGAGAAGAGGGAGATCAAGAGACATTTGTCCAGAAAGGTAAGAGGGACACGGAGTCTTTGATCAGTGGTAATTGTTTAGATGGTCGGTTCACGACCCCCGGCTGGAAATATGAACGTGGTTGCCGTGGTGACGGGACTGCCACCCTTCAGACTGCAGCCGTTTGAAAGGATGATGGTATTATCTGTTATATCATCCTCTCATTCTATATGAGAGAGAGAGAGAGAGAGAGAGATCGTCTCCATCTCAGTGACTCAGGTATTGATAGATGAAGCCGCTCTTCCACCGCAGAGAAACAATCACTTCAGCTTGGTTTGGTTCTATATTTATTTATACGTTTTGTCTTTAAAATTCATCCAGTAAATCATCCCCTTTTCATTTAAATGATATATATATATTTTTTTTTCTAATATGAGTCATTGAGTCTGTTTTTCACTTCGTCTCTAAGCAGGATATCTCTGGCTGCCAGTGTGTTTTAGAATTGATTTGAAGATTTTACTGATTACTGTTTAGGCTCTACATGTAACATTGGTTTTAAAAGTGCTCTATCAATAAAGATTATTATTATTATTATTATTATTAATATCATTATATGATCATCTCAAAAATGAATTGAATTTGGTGGGAAATGGGAATGAGCCAAGGAACGAGTTATTTTGTTTTTTAGAGGTGATCGAGGTGCAGATATAATAATTTTTAAGAGATTTATTTACATTTAAAGACAAATGAAGAAAAAAAAAATGAGTCTAGTGGTATTTTTAAATAAAGTAAGCATTTTCTATTAATTCAAATAAAAACGTACAACGTTGTGCCTTCTTGCCAGAGTTATGCAACCTCTGTCTGCTTTCATTTTATTGATTATTCAACTCAAGTTATACAAAGAAAAAATAAGCAAAAAGAAGATTTAAAACCATAAATATATATTCATTGCTTTTCCCATATTTTCTAACAAAGGTAGCAGCTACTTTCTTCTCAAGAACATCAGCTTTCATTCCTCAGCGTGCACGTTGCAGGATGATGATCGGACTGACGCTGCTCCTTTCTTTCCTCCTCTAGCTCAGCCAGAGGCCCACAGTGGAGGAGCTGAGGGAGGCGAAGATCCTCATCCGCTTCAGTGACTACGTGGAGGTCGCCGAGGCTCAGGACTACGACAGGAGAGCAGACAAGCCATGGACCCGGCTAACAGCTGCTGATAAGGTTAACTGAACACACACAGCATACTCAAACAATGCTTCGCTAACTCTGGATTCAACGAGTCTGTACATATACACTGCATGCAAATGTGTGTCGCTTTGTGTGTTCAGGCTGCCATCAGGAAGGAGCTGAACGAGTTTAAAAGCACAGAGATGGAGGTGCATGAGTCGAGCCGCCATTTTACCAGGTAAGGCAGAGTTATGAGATAACTGTCAGATGGATTCAAATGTGAGAGACAACTTTTCTTTCAGACTGTTTGAAAAGTTTGTCCCGAGTGCGGTGCCAGAGTAAAATGTAAAGGGATTATCCTCTGTACGAAATCTCAGATTACATTGTTAGACTTGGCTCAGCCTTTATCAGTTTAAGCTGCTCTCTTTGTCAGCCTCAGCTGTACTTACACTGCGTTACTGTCACATTGTTCACACTATAATTGTGAGCAGCCGAGTGTGAAAACTGTTCAAATTGGAATTTCTGACAGCTGCCGTATCTCCCACTCTGCAGAGCTACTGAAGTGTCAACAGACTGGTGGTAAAATAGCTGCCAGTGCTGGCATTTGCACTCAGACTAAGTGATTGTAGCTCACGTGACCTTCTTCATTTTAAGGCGTGTAAGAAAACTTCTATATCATACAGATCATACATCTCCGAACAATATCTCACACAAGCTATATTCAGAGCCTTCACTCTCTGATAAACAGCCTCGTCCTGCATTAGAAAAGTACTAAGCTAATAGAACAAATGGCCGAGTGTCAGGGAGAAGAAAACACTGAAATCTGTCAAAAAAGTGTCTATTTAGTGTGTTTGACAGCAAAAAATTAAAGAAAATATATAATACAGAGACTTTTGTAAAATAAAAAATATCAGTTCAACATTCACAGGAAATAATCTACTAGAACTTCCTCCAAATCGCTCGTTTTGCACAAACTTCCTGCAGTTATTGTGTTCACTGTTTGGGTTCATTGTGCAGTTTATCAGTCGTCAGTTTACTCTGATAGAAAAGGGGGAGAAGGTTGGGAACCACTGTTCTAAGGTAACAAAAATACAGTGATTCTTATTGTCTATTTTTCTCTATATTTATGTTTTCATAAAACATAAATTAATAAAATGTTACACACTGGACCTTTAATTCTGGACTAAAGTGAAAAACCACCTGACAAACCTAAAGCTCACTTCCTCTCTGTCATCCTGCAGGTTCCATCGGCCGTAAAGTGGTCGAGCCAGACCTTCGGCCAGGCTTTCACACTCCCACACCGAGCCTCAAGTGTTCAGACCGCTACCTGCTGCCCTCGTACTGCTACCTGCTCCTCTTTCCAGCGTCGACTTCACACTGACAGACTGGACACGACCCGTGTGCTGCAGCCAGCACAGGAAACGGGAGCAAACACTTCTACAAGTACAGATGGATTCAACTCTGCACTGGCGGCTCCCGTCAGATTTTACAGACCTCTTGATATTCAAAAGCTTTTATTTGTCCTTTTTTTATGATGGAGAGGTGGCGATTTGTTTACTTTGCTTTTGGGAGTCAAACAGAATCTGTGCCAATTTGGAGGATGGGAACGGTAGGAGGTGAAGATGGGACTTCATTTTTCTGGTTTTTTTACACAGGGATTGTTTTCTTGCCTTTCACGTGTTCTCCCTCTCCTTTCTCAGCTGGACTTAATCTTTCCTGGGGGGCACAAAAACTTGTGTTGGCACAGTGTTTCTCCACAGACGACAACTCGATGATCGTTTATCTCATTTAGCCAGAGGAATTTAAATATTTATAACAGCTTATGCTGTTGCAGGCAGCTGAATCTTAAAGCCAAAATCTCCTAAAATCCGAATCAAAATCCCCAAATTCTCTCTGCAAGCCAGTAACAGTAAAACAAATATCCTCGAACACAATCACACCAATCAACTGAGCAATAATTTCAGATTTTCCGTTTGTTTATGGGCTGCATTCAAGAGCTCAGAAACCCTTTTCAGACGGCCATTTTAAACCAAAGCAACTTGACTTGCTGTGGAAGTCGCGATCTTGAATGCATCCCAGAGTGACTGCTGTTGAGAGTTCAGTAACGCCACAGTCACTGTGCCTACAGTATTGTTTACAGGGATTTAAAAGTTGCCAAATTAACTAGTTTCATTTGATACAGAATATTATCTGTAGACACAGTAAAATGTTGCCGAACTCTCTGCCGAACTACAAGAAAGAAGACTTTTTATTTCATTTTTTTATTGTTTGAGATGAACCTTTGGCGGTACAGAATACGAAAACCCTGCCACATGAGTTTTTTATTGTTTACAGTCCATGTTAGGTTCATGAATTGGCGGTTTCTGACCACATTATTGGGAGAACTGGTTCATCTGTTGTGTGTGTTATGACTGTGTGTCTGAGTGAGTGTGTGTGTATGTACAAGCGTCGGTAATATGACTGTCTCTTGTATGTTTAAAAATGTTTTGGGAGAAAAATATTCTCAGAATTATAAGACTTGTACATAGTAAAGAAAGTAAGCAAGACTTTTCAAATGTTTTTTTTGTAAAGCAGAAAAAACTGCATGTGAGTATTAATTTATTGTGAGTCTTCTATGATGTATGCAGTTTCTTAAAGAAAGAAACTTATTAAAAAATAAGTTTATGCTTCCTTGCCTTTTTCCAAACAGGTTTTTTTTTCTTTGCATCCGCTCCGTGTAGCAGCTGTTTCCAGTGTTCATGCAGTCGAGTCCTTTCCACGTACTCTGGTGAAAGCTGGGAATTGTCAATGAAGAGTGGCTCCCGGCTCCTCTGGCTTACTGAAAGTTGCCTGTGATGAGTTTTCGGTTCAGTCATGCAGAGATGAATCCCCACTGACACCGAACGCCACAGTCTGTTAGTCTCTCGGAGGAGTTAAGAGGTGCATCCTGGGAAAGCGGTTCCCCTCTAGGTGTGTGTGGAGCTCCGTGTGGCTACACAGCGTGCATCGGAGTGCCGCAATATTTGTGCCACAAGTCGATGGCTTTGGTCACAATGGCGTCTGTGTTTTCCTGCGGTATCTGGAAGGGAAAAGTTGGTGTGAGGTTTTTACAAGGGCGCCTACTAAGAGGACGACAAACAATGCATCTCTGTTTGGTGGACAACAGGAATGAGTTCAAAAACCGGGAAGTGAGTTAGTATTTTAGCACTTCTGGTTCCTTCTTATCAAAGTCAGTGGGTTTTCTGAATGAGATGCATGAAATAAGGTCTGTGGTTAACACAAGCTTTAAGAGATTTTCACATTTTGTTCGACATAAAATACATAAATAAATAAGCCACACATCAATTTTGAAGCTTTTAAGTGTCAAAAGAAAGACTACAGAGGTTGTTGGTGACATTAAATGTCACGCCGAACATGGAAACTTACCTACTCACTAGTTGCCTAATGTTTTTACTTCAAATTTATGCTTCAAAAATACAATATAAAAGTTAATTTGTTTGATTATCTTGCTGAAAAAAACATGCAAGTATCATAAACTTCTGTTTGCCACAGAGCTAACTATCTGTAATCATCCCATTGGCTTTTTGTTGAAGGAACCAGGGCGAAGCTTCCAGGCTGGCCTACAGAAATACGTCACCCCTGCAGCACTCTATAACGTGACACTGTTGCGCCGTCAGTTACTCACGTTGCACAGAAACTTGATGATGCCTTCAGGCCGGTTGATGCCCATCAGTATGATCTTGTAGCTGAGCAGAATCTCCAGCGCCACAAACACCAGGATCTTACAGGAGCCACTGATCACCTTGTCCCACACCCTAAAAACAATCACAGTTCATTTAAATGGGGTCGCGAATTTAAGGTTGACTTTAATAACAGTGCATTCAGACAAAGGGGACAGCTGTCTCTTGACTCTCACTCAATCTGTAGCTTTCAGACATGTTTGTCCTAAGCAACAAGTTTAAATATTCTGCAGTGTATTTGTTTCCTTTGGTAAACAACACCACTGCACCAGGCATTGCAAAGTTAAAAAGTCAAACACCATGATATATTGTGAACAGGGACACAGCAAGGACAGCAACTAACTAGCTATGTTGCTGAAGTTGCCGCTAACATGCAGAGAGGATGAAAGGGTTTCCCAGAGCACCAGCTCACGTACTCTCCTGCCACTAAAGCTAACGTCACAACAACAGAAGTAAACCGAATATCTGTGGGCAAGTCTTTTAATGTTAGCTGACACACAAATCCCAGCTGGAATAAGAAGTTAGTGCTGGATATCAACTGGATTCTGTTTTCAGACAGAGAAAAGAAAGCTTCTCCTCCCCCTTCTGCCCCGAGGAAGAGGAAATACTCAAGGGAAAAAGTGTGTTGGAATCGCTTTACCTAGAATTTCTTTAAAACTTTATCAATGCTAGTTCTTCCTTGTGTAGCAGGGCTCCAGTAAAAAAAAAAATCATTGACATCCTTCTGGCAGCTGCATATCTGAGTGCTTCCTAAGATCAGGATCAGATCAGCCTGACAGACGTTTTTGATAAAGTTTACAACATCCTCCATAACAATAATTATCAGTACTAATATGTTACTGCCTGATCACTTCAGCAAAGACTGATCAGGGTCTAACAAGTAGTCTGAGACGTCTCTTGGAGTCGTGGCAGACACTGAAGGCCCCCCTGGATTATTAAATCTGTAAATGTAGTTTAATCCCAGCGTGAATCAGCTGCACAGATTTAGGCAGAAATGTGGTTTGAAGATCTTTAAAAGCAGCTGCAGGGAAGGATTTTGATAATCCCATTCTGCTGAGGATAAAACAGGAATGTGTGAACCCTCGCTCTGTTGGTTTACCGAAAGCGTGCAGATGTGATGATCAGCGCCGTGAACGGTAAACTGACCTCTGCAGGCTGGATTCGGGCAGGCAGCCAGCGAAGCAGCGTCTGAACCAGAGGCCGTAGGGCAGCTGAGCCAGGGATCCGCTGTTCTTCAGATGGTTCAGCAGCCGAGGCTCCTCCTGACTCAGATAATGCTCCAGGCTCTTCGGCTGCACCGGAGCACAACAGCAGGAAGCAACAAAGTCTCAATTCATAGTGACGCAAATTGAAAAATAATGTGAGCCGAACTCCTGACTGCTGAGAACTTTGTTACATCAATTCTGACGTTTTAGAAACTAAATTTGCACCATGATTCCTCGTATACTTTCCATCTTCAATTTCACTTAATTTAAGTTTCTTATTTTTGTTCTATGATCCTGATTTTACTGGTAATAAACTTGCTGAGAAAGTCTCAGCATGGAGACTGAAAATGTATGAGATTTGCTTATTTAAAGCATATTTCATCCATTGATGAAGACCACACAAAGTAACTGAAAGCTGAAACAACATTTTTACAGGTGATATATTTTTCATTTGAGCTAAATGGGACACTCACCAGGTGGGGAACTGAGTCTCCAAACTTTGTGTGGAACTGATTGACGAAACACTTGATCAGCCAGTAGCAGTCGATGGGATCATCTACGATCTCCTCCATGGCTCGACTGATGGAGAGGAAGTCCTCGTTCTCTTCATCCTGAAACAACGCGTCCGTATCGTACGTATCAGACGGGAGCAGAAGCTGCCAC